GCCTTCCTTGGGGAACTGTTTGTTGTGTATCTGTCGAACTCTGCTGGAGATAATAAAAAAGGAACCTCGGCTTATCAGAGTCCAGTCCCCCACCTACGTAGTCGGTGAGTTTATAAAGGGTAGATCGATGGTGAGTTTTTGGATGTGTCTGACTTGTAATAATTTTCGTTTTGGTCGGAAAATGCATTTGCATTGTCTTGGAAGCTTTTTTTTGTGCGGTGTTCGTCTTAGACAAGCCCTTTGCTAAGTTTTTTTTTTCAATTAAGGTTGGTTAACGCCGTTTTGCACTTTAGAAAATGCTAGGTAGAGATGAAAGATCTTTTTAAATTTGGAGAAAAGCTATAGCTTGAGATGCACTGTCGAGTAAAAATTAAAACTATGCATTACTCCATAATTTGGTTGAATGTTTGCGCTCTATGGTTGGTGTGGAGATTTCACGCGACCTTCTTAACAAATTAGATGCAAAACTAAAACCAAGTGCGACTTGGTCACTCGTATTTTCCGGTGCTACAGGACGTTTTTGTGTTTTCTCTTTGTGATGTTATAGACTACTTGTTATATTTTCTTTTTTTCTGGCTGGTCGTTAGTAATGAGCAGTAAGCTTGGGTAGCTGGCGGGGTTTTTGATGCTTTGATGTTTTATGAAAGCGAAGGTTACGGAGCAGAGAAAACAAACAAGGATTTTTTTTCCGTCCTATACCTCAAGTGGCTTCGCTGCTCCGCTGCCGAACGGTACATAGCGCACAGAAACCACCAGTTATGCAGGTTTACAGCATTTTTGAAATGATGTGTAACTTGTTACTGTTTGATTTCATTTTACTTTTCATACAAGTGCGATGTTTGATCTTCAGGTGATCTTCATGGTAATTTTCGTGATTTGGTGTGTTTTGAGAAGGTTCTTTGGCGTATGGGCCCCGTTCTAACACCAGCTAGTTTCATGTTCCTGGGGGACTATGTCGATCGAGGGGAGAATGGAGTAGAGGTACAATTCTTATTTTTTGGTGGTGTAGTCTTAGTATTCCCCAATTTTTTCTCAATTTTTTCTGTAAGACAATTTGATAATAATTTGACTTTGATTAATTTTCAACCACGCGTTAGAACAACAACCTTAGCATTAGAGCAATGGATTTTGTTGAAGTAACTAACCTGTCCGCATCCTGTTTGGTTGGCTGACTCACCAACTGCGGCTTATCTTATTGATCGACCGACCGACTGGTCGACGGACTGACTGTTCATCTTACTCACCGACTGCGTGGCTGATTGACTGACTGACTGTTTATCTTAGTTTCTGACTAACTGTTTATCTTACTCACTGACTGAGTGACTGTTTATGTTACTCACTCACTGACTGACTGACTGACTGTCTGTTCATCTTACTCACTGACCGACTGGCTGACTGACTGACTCATTATTAAGCTCCATTTCCTCGAGTCTGTTCAGTCTTCCTTTGTCCAATTGATTGACATCACTGATTAACCTCTCCTAGCTGCATCACTTGTCTTCCCCTTTTTTTAAACAGTTGGGGCCAGTTGATGATAGATACCTAATCAAAAGCATAAAGAGGTTATGAATGACTATAACCGTTTATTCGGGGGACTTACTTCACCGTTTACAACAAATCCACACCCAAGTCATTGAAACTCAAGTAAAAGCATTGTTTCACTCTCCAATGTATAAAATCTGTTCATGTTCGGCGTTCTTGGCAGGTCATCTCATACCTCTTTGCTCAGAAGGTGTTAGCCCCATCGAAATTTGTCCTAATCCGAGGGAACCACGAGATCAGAGACATTCAGAAAATGTTCACTTTTCATAGGTTTGTTGAAGTTAATATTGGTATCACAAACATTAAATCATTATCTCTGTTGAGACGGAGCCTCGGTTCTAAACCAGGGAAGGAACATACGCGTATTAGGGGGGAAGTTCTTAAGAAACTGTGGTGCTGCGACGGTGGAAGAGTATAACAGGGTAATTTAGTCTTATCAGCTGAGTTGATAACGTAAATTACCACCGTAAAGAGTTTAGAAGCTGACGTTTCGAGCGTTAGCCCTTCGACGGTGCGATTAAAACAAGGTTGTTTTCGTGAATTTTGAATTGAGCCCTTAACTAAGACCTTCCTGGGCCCCTTGCGAGTTTTGAGGTGGGAGGAACGGACGGGAAAACGTCATGATCCCAAGTCAACTATTTTCCCTACCGGTCAAACCTGACTCAGTCAGTAAACGTTGTATCAAATGACTGATACTCTTTTCTCCTCTATTATTTCAACTTGCATCTGTTAAGGCCGTAAGGTTTTCCTGGGCCCTATTACCCTATTAGCGCCATCACGTACGGCTTTCACAGCTTTCATGTGGGGATTTCGTAATATCTTTTTTGTTTTACGAAAAAGCGCACGAGGGTCCCACGGGTCATGTTATGAAGGTTACTTCAGCAGCAGTTTTTCAATCTGATAAACCATTATATATAATTTCTTTTGGCATAGTACCTCGCGCTTTTACGAAGTGGAAATTTTTTCAATTCTCACCAATTTCTTTTGTTGCCCTTACCGACGCAGTGAGTGTCTACAAAAGTTTGGTCCTGCTCTTGGCGAAGAGGTCTGGGAAGCAGTTAATGCTGTCTTTGATGTTTTACCGCTGGCTGCAATTGTAGACAACAAGGTAAAAAAACCTGAACAAGAGCGTAGCAGAAAGGAGGCTGAGGGTGGGGAGGGTGGGCGGTACCCCTCCTTGGTGTAAGAAGTATCAACTTTTGATAATAATACAACCTGAAATACTCCAAAAATCGAAAAAGGCGTAGATTTGTACCCCTTCCCCTCGTTTAAAAATCCAGCGTACACCCACCTACGTCATTTGATGATCTTACGTTGATTCTGATTGATCCATGGCTTGAAAAATAAGAGGATACTGGTCCAAACTTCCCGGTTAATAGCTCTCTAGTATTAAGTAATTTTTGGGGAGCAATACGTTTTGTTTCATCAGTAATAGAATTGCCCCTCAGGCATCATTAAATTAGATGTCACGTGATCTTTAATCACCTTTTTGTTTTTCAAAGCAGTCGAAAATGTAATGGTAATGAGAAATGCTCCAGAACGATATTATCTTTATGTTAGCTGTTAGAAATCGTAGCGAGGATCAAGTGCAATTATTCACAGCAACCCCTGATTACATTTTACCAGCATTGTTAAATCATATGTTTCTATTTACTTCGCCTGTATTTGCTCCATTACCACAAACCTTACCCGACGATTGGTAGTGTTCCTCTTTTCGTTTGTCGAGAAATTTCCGTAAAACACCCTTGCTGTTTGTATTCGCAGATCTTCTGTGTCCATGGGGGTATTCCGCTGCCCAGTCAAGGGGGCGGGCTTGTATCATCTATAGACAACATCCCCGGTGTTCTACCTGAGCCTGAAAAACAAAGCGAGCTGGCTTGGGAACTTATGTGGGGAGATCCTTTAAGGTATTTACTTCGCTAACTGACATTGTGCTAATTACAAAGAATAGATTGTTGAATAAAGAAGAAATAAAGACTGCTTCGACAACGCTTTTTTTACCCCGAGAAACTGCATAGCAGAGAACTTTCCGATTGAGTTTCGTTAACGGAAGGCTAAGTACTTACAACGGCCAAATAAAACAAGGGCTGATATTGCAAGTAGCCAATGAGAAATCGAAATCCCAAGCGCGAGAAACACAAGTGAACAAGTAGCGATGGGTTTCAATTTTGCCTCTGATTGGCTGAAAGGAATGCGCGAGTTTTCACGATCTTACAACAAACTGAATCAAAATTATTGGAATCCCGGATCACTTTCCATATTCGATTAAAGAGTTTCCTATTTCATGAAAACAAGTGAGTCGTGATGCAGTCAAATCTCTGTGGGAAAGCCACCGTCGGGACCGATCTTAAGTATCCGTCTACGGGATATATCCAGCTTTACGAGAGTCGAGGTAACGTAACACAATGGTTCTCAAATGAAAAGGCGGAACATGTAAACAATTAATACACGTCTGTTTTTTGTCTGTTTTACTTAATTTACTAAAGAAAAATTTATAAACTGGGAAAAATGTCGTATCGGAATTTTACTTCCTCAAATCGTAATGTTCTATTATATGTAACACTTCGCGGCACTTCTCAAGAGTCCAGTGACGTGTAAAGGTGTTTGTGGTCCGGTTTTGGAGGAGTCTTATAGAATTGAATTGTAGTATTCTGACTAACAACGGCACTGACCATATTCGGTGTTGTAATGTGTGTTAAGGTTAAAAGGCTTAATTTAATACTCAAGAATAAACCGAGCAGTTACATGTTCGAAAGCCACGGAAAAAACTGAGTGCGCATATTGTTATTATTAGATCATTAGCAGCGCGCTCATTAGGATTAGTTCATCTGCAGGTGTGTATGTTCGCCGCTTCTAGATATGGCCCGGTAATCAGTCATTCCTGTATACTTTCAACAGTATTCCGTCACAGGTGTCTGCTCTTTGAAGGTGTCCGTCTAGAGGGAGAGGACTCTGCTGCGAAAAAAGTTCCTCTTGGTACCTTCGTTCGTACGTTTACATGATTCATTATAAATATGCATGCACTGACCCCGATATCCTCCTCTTGACAATCATGTGGTTAATATAGGGGCTTCATTAACTGTTTCTATAGGCAGCTGCCGATGCTGTACTAGGCGGCTGTGCCCAGAAATGGGGCCTTAAGGTGAAACCCAAACGAGAGAGCATTCTCGTAAGCTAAACATCAAACGGCGGTAAGGGGTCGTGTAGGCGGCGGTGGACGGACAGTAATCGGATTTCGATGAAATCCCTGAGTTATAGCAAGGAGTCGGTCAGAAGCATTTTGTGGCCAGAATGACTTCTTGTCACGGGATGAACAAAGGAAAGAACAAACGGGATCCTTTTTTCCTAAACCTTCTCCATTTTTTCGTTGCCTGCAATTTCGACCGTTGCTATCGAAGGAGAGCCTGCAATAAACTACATTTGGCGTTGTTTTCAAACGCATAATAAGATTCTAAATATCTATCGCACAGAACACATTTTATTTTCAAAGACTTAAATAATTGCATTCTCAACATTATGAATCATGAAGTGATCAACATGGTAATTCTCCATGCAGTATCACTGACATGTCAAGCATGTGGTGAGAATTGAGAAATAGTCGTCAAAAATATCTCCAATTTTAAATATGTAACATACTTGAAAGATTGTAGAAATAACAGTTTGGTTGCGTCATTCTCGAAAGTGGAAGGTTTTATATAAATAACAACTTAGCTTTTTTTTGTAAGTTAACACTCGTATGGAAAATAAAATATGAATTGTTTCAATAATTCCAAAATATTTGATTCGCTCCTTCTCAAAAGGGCGATAAAAAAAGGCTTTCCCGATTTCTCTGTTTGTTTTCATAGATGGATTTACGTGATACTAGCGAACTTGCAAATAATTATGTTAAAATCTACAAACATTAAGGAGCTAATGTATCACCTCGAGGAAGATTGGATAAAGTGGCGCATATTACAAACGTAGAGATTTGAAAAAGTCCAGCTGCATTTTTGAAGGTGCAGTTATCCGATTGCATGATCCCTCAGTCAGGTTTTGTATTAAGCCAAAATTGACCCAGGCATATTTTCCTCGACTTTTCTTTCTTGGAAAAGTTTAACCTATTTTACAGTGCGCACAAGTCCTCTTCAGCTCAAACTGATATACTTGTAGCCTTTTTAGTCAAATTTGCTCTTGACGAACACACTTGTCGAGGAAAAGAGTGAAAAGAAAAGTCTGCTCTAAGAAAATTCACCTTCTCTAATATTATCTACAAGTTTGTTCTGATGATGAATATGTAAATTCAATGTAAATGTACCGATGACGTATCCATGGCGAGAAGAGAAGCAAAAGGTCATTTAAGTGTCAAAAAGAAGAGGCGTCTTAACGGTATCGTTCAGCTGGTCCGGTTGCTGTATTTGTGGCCTTATTCTTTTCTTTGTGAAGAACTGCGTGCTTAGGAGACTCATCTTCACTTGTCATTAAGTTGGACTGAAACCCTTCATCGTTTTCACTGTCACTACTGGGTGACATGGGTCCTTCTTCACTGCTTGGTGTCCAGGTGCGGACGTGTTCGTCACGTGCTGACGGAATAAGCCGGTCCAGAAAATCACGTGAAACATCATATTTTGTGAAATCTACTTTGCTATTGTGAATGCCATACATGAAGTAAATAGCCATACCTTCAGAGACAAAAAATACTGACAGTGAGTAGGTTTTAATCAAGCACAATAGTGTCATTTAAAGCCCCTTGAGGTATAGCGGGTTAGCTCTTAAATGCCGAACGAATGAATTCGTGGCTAAAAGTGTTAAAACTGTGTGTACTATGGGACAGAGGAAAAATCCAGATATAGCAAAGACGGCGAGTGATATCCTAGAGTAAATAGATTGCAAACGAACTATATCTCGGAAAAACGCGAGTTACCCACTTGTTATTGTGGTAAGTCTTTTAACTGATTGGTTTTGTGGGTAGCTCGAGTTTGTTATGTCAGTAAGAAATGACACAGCGAGGTGTAATCGCTGTAATCCTGGATAAGTGTCGGCACTCAGTTGCAGAGTGCCTCAAATTTGGTTTTAGTTTACAACACTCAGTGGTAATACTCTACAACATACTCACCAATAAACATCCAGGTAGCTACTCGAGCCCAGGTCCAACGGGACAAATTAGTCAGTAAGTAAATATTGGTCAAGATACTGGTCAGAGGAACGAACGGAGTACATTGCACTGCATGAGCAATCCTAAACTCCTCTGTTGGTAACAAGAACAATACTGCCAAGGCGAAGATGACGACAGAGGCCATTAGGCAAGAGGCGAATATGATAATAGGATTCTTCTCGGCCACATGAGGCAAGCCGCTTGCTGGAGAGACGGTCAAAGAGAACCCATAACCCGCAAATACGAGGCACGCCGCAGCAATTCCAGCAACTCGATGAGTGTCCTTGGTGGGTTTGTCACCAAATTTGGCACTCAATTTGGTTTTGATCTCTCGCGCAGCTGAGATTTGTTTCTTCATTCCCTCGCGAAGCTTCCCACAGCAAGAAGAGGGTTCGTCGTCATTCGTGTCGTAATCTTCTCCGTTTGTTGGAAATTCTGACCAAGACATCGGTCGGTATCGCTCTAGAAGGACAGCCAAGGACACAGCGGTGTACGCCATGAGTGTTCCAATAGACATCATCTCAACTAAGTCGTTTAGGTTTAGGAAGAGTGCTATTACTGCTGCACTGAAGCCGAAAATTAATCCAGCTCTAATTGGAACTCGAGTTCTGTCACTAACCTTTGCTAAACTTTGAAACAAAAGTCCGTCATTGGCCATGGCGTAAATAAGACGAGTTCCTGCATAATTAAAAGTGAGCAGAGCGGTTGTCATTCCGAAGAATCCTCCGATAGCAACAAAGTATTTTCCAACTTCGGAACCTGTGTAACCAAATGCCTCTGTTAGAGGGCTGTTGAAACTAAGTTTATTGTAGGGAATGATTAACGTCAGAACTGCTGCAGTGATGAGGTATATGAAAACCCCAATATACGTGCTAACAGAGTTGGCAAACGGAACAACTCTTAGTGGATTGTCAGTCTCTTCGCTGGCAGAATTGATGATATCAAAACCAAGAAAAGCAAAGTAGGAAATAGACGCACCAGCCATGATTCCATCGAAGCCAAAAGGTGCGAATTTGTCAAGTGTCTCCCAATTGGTAGTGTCCATGAAGTAAAATCCTGAGAGTACAATAAATAGGACCACCAGCAAATTGATCATAGTCGCAAATCGCATGAAAAGGGCTGGTTTTCGCGGCCCTGTAGCAGCTACGACGGTGAATACAATAACGACTAAAAAAGCTATGAAATCTGGATATGGTTGAAATCCTGCCACGCTCCACTGAGCAACGTTTTCAGTCATGAATTTTGAAATTTTTTTCCCGCTAATGGAGTTTAGAAATTTGCTGAATTCATTTGCCAGCAGAGCGCTTGCAAGGACGTTTTCTAAAATTAGATTCCAACCGATTATAAAAGCCCATATCTCTCCCAGAGCAAGGTATGTATAAACATACGAGGATCCTGTTTTCGAGACGCGAGCGGCAAATTCGGCATAACAGAGCGAAGACAAAATCGCCGGGAACGCCGCGATCATAAGAGAAATGACAATGGCTGGTCCTGCTGTATCTCGAGCGATTTGTCCTGTGGCTACGTACAGACCTGGCCCAAGCATGGATCCCATTCCTAATAGAATCACATCCAGTACTGTCAAACACCGGTTGAAAATCGTGTCATCTCCCGTTAGATCGTCCTTCCGTGAACGAAGCAGAAGTTTCAAAAAGTTGATGCAACTCATGTTGAATTCCAATACAAAAATCCAATACAAAAATCCTGACAAAGTTTCTCAAGGCCAGCTGTTAGATTTCGGTTGAAAGAAGGACATGAAATCCTTAAATTCGTTGTTTGGTGTTGCAGTATTTGGTCACTGAATCAAACCATCAATTATATAACAACAGTTTGAAGTTAAGCACATTGCTTAATTTCGCTCATTTCTTGCGCACATTCCCTTTTATAGCTGTTTTCTCCGACAACCACGACAGGAGGAACTTAAAGAACTAAAACAACGGGACCAAGGATTCATTTAAAGAACTAAACTTTCTCGACGCTTCCTATGCGGCTGAAGCGTCCTTAGGCTCTCTGCATCAGTGATCACAGTTTAATGTTAACATAAATTTTCTTTCCGCAGAAATTAACTTTCAAATGAGCTTTGTACGTGTCAGCTTTGTTGTCTTTTCAGTTTGTTTTGTTCACCTCATATAACGTCGTGCGTGCATTTGTGTAAACGTTTGGGACAAATGGAAGGGACATTTAATCCTTGAAATTACTTTTAAAGCGATCGTGAAAAGAAGAAGGTTAATCCCCTCTTTTGCTCAGATTTATTCGTTCGTCTTTATATTCAAGTGAGCGGCTTTTGTTCAAATGACTTTCAAATGTGATAACAGTATTGTTCTTATGCGTGGAGCCGGTATTAGTTCGCCCTTGGCTGATTTCTTTTTTATGCAGATAGGAAAGGCTTTTTGTGACGTAATGTGATTCAACTCACACCCACTTATTGTTATTACTTTATCGCTGAAAGCTTCGAAAATAACACTTGACGCATTTAGAATGACAAGATTGCTGATGTGTTGTCATGAAAACGACATTATTTTCACTAAACATTGTGGATTAAATTCCCAGTGGTAAAATACAGCCTTTATTTGTAAAAGGATGCCTTAGGTCTTACATTTTTGGAAGCAATTGCAGCAGAATGTATTTAAATAAACTCCAATTTTTGGAGTTTCCCTTTTTTTCCTTCCCTTCCTCCTCGAAAGTGACACTACTTCCCGTTTGTAAACCTCCAAGCTTCTGCTTCGCTGTCTCATCCACTTCCGGTAATCTTACCCAATCTAAACTAACCTCACTTTGCAAGAAAAATTTGGAGGAATCACCTTCCGCCAGATAGGAGGCCTATCTTTGTTTGTTTGTTTTTTAAAGACGTATTTTGCGTTAACTTTGCAATTAATGGACCCCAGAGAAGCAGCAGTAGAGTGCGGTCAGGTAGTGTGAAACATTAGAAGTAAGAAAATCTTACACGTAGTTTGATTCAAAGTCCGGTCAGTTATTGGATTAGATTTTGTGTGATTAAAATCATCACTGTTACAGGGCAGAAGATGTGACTCCCGACATTTTGGAGAAACTCAAACAAAACGAGGGATTCACAGCCAATAGCAGGCGAGGTACTGCTTACTTGTTTAGGTAGGATGGACCTTTTCTTGTCGTTATGTTCAGAAAACGATGGGGAGTTGGGATATATCATTCGGGCTGGCGTTGATCAAGAAATTCACAATTTATTATTTCACGAGTACGCTTTGAACGCCAAATGATAGATAGCCAACGAGGCTCGTAGGACCGAGTTGGCTATAACCATCTCATATCCAATAAGCGCTCGTGGAATGATTGCTTAACCAAAAACGCCCCAAAATATTGTTAAGTCTTCCCAACTTTATTATGTAAGTACAAATTTTTTCTCCAATTTAATTTTGAGCTGATGCATAGACTTACCATATTTAGAGAGCATGGTATGATGGCTCATAACCCATGATGGCTAGGCCAATGAAACTCTTGAATCACATTATCCAATTATCCAGTTTTTAATTAAAAACCAAAAATCTCTAGCGTTGATTCAATTGTACAAGTTTCCAACAATCTGATTGGTCTGCAAATCCACATATTTCGTTATTATCACCGCTCCAGGCGATCCCTCATATAAAGGGGTAAGTTTGTAAAGAAACTGTGGTGCTGCGTCAGGAAGGGGGGTGTTACGAAATAAATTATTTTATTAACTGATAATTTGAATCGGTCACCGTAAACAGTGTCAAAAGCTGACATACCTCTTACTAGCGGACAAAACTGGTGTAGTAAAATATTTGTCATATCTATGGGTTTAAATGAATGGAGGAAGATTTCAATTCAAACAACATTTTTTATTCAGTGGTCCGTACAGTGAAATATAACCCTCTATTGACCAATCCTAGCGCACGAACTAACTGAGAGATATGATAAACACTCGAGACACTCAAAACTACAGTGGAGTCTTCATACTGCCTCGGTGTGAAAGCGAGGTTACCCGAACTGTACCACCCGTCCGCTTTTGTTTATTTTGCAGCGCGGACGCCTTGGATGCTTTCTTGAAGAGGAACCATCTTACTCACGTGATCAGAGCGCATGAAGTACAGCAAGCTGGCTTTCAGGTCTGTTAATATCACTTTAGCGTCATTTGATATGTAAATAACAAAGCAAACGGTTTAACCCTTTACACCCTAACATTAATATTCTCCACACTGTGTTCTCTACATTTTCTATGGTAAAGACAAGGAGAATTTGTTAGACAATCAGGACCTTCTGAATCGGAAATCCTCTCTATTGTTCTCATGCTGTGAGGAGAAATTAGAAGCCAATTACTTGTAGGAGTTAGAGGGTTAAAATGAAGTGAGGTAATTTTCACGTGCTCTGCCTGGTCGACCAATAACAGTCCCAAGTGGTATGCAGAGCAATTGTCTCTCGAATGTCGAAAGAAAACTGGGATGATCACACTCGGTGATTCGATTGAAAACATTGTGCCACTTTATTAGATGTAAATATACAACCAACCGTATCTTGGTGTATACGTATTCACGCCAGTTCTCACAACTGGTATATTTTCCTTCGTTCTGATTTCATGTTTTTTAACACATTTTGTTTTTGGTCTCATTTCAATCAATGCCGCAGCGCTCCGTTTCAATGCTCTATTTGTTATCATTGGCCAATTCTGTGGTTCTGAAAGTTTCGAGTGAATACAATAAGGTTAACAATCATGGTTATTGACACTTTCTTAAATTATTTTTTTAATCAATTTTTTTACATTTTTTTTTATGTTTTTTAATAAGTTTTTTACTTATTTCTAAAAACGTTTAATTATTTTTAATTTTTAATTTTTTTTACAATTATTTTTAATTTTTTTAAATTAATTTTCCTAATAATTTTTAAACACTTTTTTAAAATGATTTTTTAAACAATTTTTTTAATTACCTTTTTAAACGATTTTTCATTAAAAAATTTTTTGTAATAATTTTTAAAATCATTTCTTAAATGATTTTTTTAAAATAATTTTTAATTTTTTTGGAATAATTTTTCTTAAAATCATTTCTTGAATTAATTATTTTTTAATTAATTTCTTAAAACTGAACTAGTGAGCAGCACTTTGCGAACAGCAGTTTCGTCTAATTGTCGTAGACTTCTTCAAGGTGTTTTACAAGTTAAAATTAAACGCCTGTATTTACAAGCCATAGCGGCTATACGGGGCCAATGACCATAAAGGCTTGGCCGGACCTACGAACAGGAACAGGCGAAGTTGTGAAAAATTTCAACATTTTTTGGGCAAGGTGGGAAAAATATATTGGGGGCCACGGTTTTAGCTAAAACTGAAGCCGTTCCGCTAAATTTTTCTATTAACAAACCTTTACTGGGACAACATTGCTTATAACAGCCGGTAGATTAAAAAATGTCCACTGTTCACTCTAGGCTTAACGATAGAGAGATAAAAGCTGCTAAACGTGAGCTAATCGTGGGAATGAAGGTAAAACTACTGACAACATCTTTACTCTAACTTTCTCGTTTTCATTGACGCGAAGGTTCAACAGAATGGCAAACTGCTGACCGTGTTCTCGTCGTCGCAATACTGTGGGGGGTCCAATGAAGCAGCCTGCATCCTGGCATATCAAAACAAACTGCGCACAATCCGACTGGATACCACGTGATCGACCACAGCCTTTCAGAGCTAACTCGGTTAGACCAACCATGGATTAAGAACTCATCATCATCATTATTGCTACTCGTTGCTCATATGTTAGTTTGTTTATTTCTCAGTTATGTTTTAATATTATCCTTCACTAGAGTAAATTATTTTTTAATAACAAAATATAAAAATTAATTTAAAATTTTGTAACAGAAGTTAGTTAGTCTTTCGTTTAGTTAAACGAACTGTTCCACTGAAACGCACAAGTTTGTTTTTCAAGAACAGAAATTATCTTCATTAAGGGGGAGACTTTTAAAAAGTTGTTTTAATGAGATTGTCCAAATAAGAGGTTATATTTCTTAGACGTTCAAATGAATAAGATGTAGAGAGAAAACTAATAAATTTGACATTCCAATTTCGTTTCTTGAAATCCACACACTGCCACTTGTTCCCTCCACAGCACCTTCTATTATAACGCAGAAAGCGTACGGAAAAATGGCCAAAGGGACTGGGGCGGAAGACTTAACTTTTAACCTTTTGCACCCCAACATCACTATGTATATTCTCTATACTGTTATCAGTGTATTTCCAAAAGTGCTGACAGAGAAGTTGTTAAAAAATCAAGAGCTTCATTAGCTAGTGATCATTTCCTTTATTCTCTTGACCTTTTGAAAATCAGCACCTGCTGTTATCTTTGATTTTGCTATAGACATTCGCTGTCGCTTAATTAGCTTTCACTCCCTCGGTGAATACTCCAAGAAAATACCCGCTACTATGCCCCTGTAACATGCGCAATTTGCCTGTTCACATTTGTTCGAAACTGACTGTTTAATTGGGGACGATTTTCACCGAGGATGCTGGAGTTCACAATTTTACTTCACAAATAAGTCAATCTTTGGTCCATGAAACAGTACCTACAAGTCATATGGCGTTGTTAGTAATCAACGTCTATGTCAATACCGGATCAATGCCAATATCTGAGCAACTACCCACCTACCCCTCCCCTAACCAAACATTAACCCCAACTTGTCATCAGTTGACTGTTGTTGTGTTAGGGAGGGGTAGGTGCATAGTTCCTCAGATCCTGACATCGATCCATTACTCTTAGCTCGAGAAACGAACGTCTCGATCAGTGCTAAGATTTGAAGGCCTCGGCGGCTGTCATCATCACAGGCGGACAATGCTGTGATCGCGTGTTTTTTTCAGGTTTTCTGCATGACGGCATGATGCTAAGGGCTTGTAACCACGGAAAGCAACTTTTCAAGTAACAATTTTAACCTCTGGCGATAAGTATGCTCTACCTGTGCTGATTTTCAAATGAGAAGGTCTGCCAAAATATCTAAGAGGGTACCAGGGGTCATTCACACAGTCGACTTTCCACTCGCTCTTTCGTATCCTTACCGCACCAAGTCTTGTTGTTGGTAACCCTTCCAGAAGATTCCTTCGCAACTTGCTTCCTTACTCACCACCGATGTGGGCGTTTAGATCTTACGCAATCTGACATTATTTACGTTGAAGAACAGAGCATTTGATTTGCGCGCTACAAAATCCTCCTCGTTGCTTGGAACGTGTGTACTAAGACAATTACCAAGCTCGACCACCCTATCCTTGACTACGACTCGACCACACTGAAACCACTCTGAGGTACCAAGAGTAACAGTACGCTATCCCCAGGGCTTTGTCACAGCAAAGGTAACCAGAGCCAAAAATATAAGAAACAGAGACAGAGCAATAGCCTTATCACGAGGCTCTCCATGATAAGCTTCTGTTAATGGAAAAAACAGCTCTTCTTTGCAGACATCTCTGTAACATATTCCACTGAGATCCACCGTCCTAAGAAGAGTGGAAAAAAAAGACACTAAGATCATAAATAATGGAAAATTTTAAAAAATCGAAAGAAAAAAAAAATTTTCATGTTCGGCGATGAAAGGTCCTAAATCCTAGCATTTGCCAGTTACTTGGGGGAAACGTTAAGTTTCCTATTAAGATGAAACCAATTTAAACATAAGACATGTTTTATTTCTAGGCCAAATGTTTTGGCTTGGAGCACGAACGGCATATTGGTAACAAGAATTAATTGACATGAGAGTTTGTTTGAGTGGGCAGACCCGACTTCTGAATCGAGATAATTTAAATTTTACGATTTGCCCTTTCATCGAGGATCATATAATTGTAAGAACATTTTAAATCGAACACAGACGGGCCGACTCGTCGCCTAAACATTTCGCTTGCTCGATGATCTAAAAAATTGATCACTCGAAATAAAATATTTTCTTTTAAGCGTGCATACGACAGGAGAGGTAAAGAACAAGATCGCTAGACCGAATGATAACAACTTCCAAATAAATACTACTTTTCTTGTTTTTACCTTTTTACCGGCTGCGGTTTTACGGAGGGAACCTTGATGAAAACAACCGAGCTTTTCAACATAAAGTTTTGGAAAAGAGGGGTATACTCCCTCGTTTCCGTGCCGTTTTCCGTGCCGTTTTTCGTGCCGTTTTCCGTTTTACTTGAGTTCTGATTGGCTAGTGTAACCGATGAGTTAGAAATATTGACGCTGACCAATGAACTTGCTGCTGTCGGAGTGATGGCAGAGGGGCTGAGCACTACTTGTTTAACAATTGTGTTTGTTACTGGTGCAGAACAACTCACACCGTAACCGCTGACACAACTAAGTCGCCAGGTAGTGTACTGGTATCTGATATGAAAAAACACTGGAAAAATTAACATCAACACGAAAGGAGGGAGAGTGGAAAGTATAGCTGGAATTTTATCGTTATCAAATTTTTCCCGCTTTCCATTTCTTTCTATTCGCGAAATTGGAAGAGGATTATATTTTGTCAAAAGAAACAACTTTTTTAGATGTAAATTAAACTAACTACGCAAAGAAACCGCTGACGTAAGAATTAGTTTTCATGAAACACATAGCAGTTATATAGGTGACGAGAATGAAGACAATTGTCAACGGTACGGAATTTCCAGTCTTCCGCTCGGGCGTTCATTTGTCACCCCACACCACACTCAAAGGGGACGTAGGATAATATCAAACGAAAGCCCTCTCTACCCCCTCCCCCCGGGAATAGCCATAAAAGGAGTTTTTGGATCTTGATAGTTAAAGGGTTAAAGCTATACTAACATGATTCTTGTTCCCACAATTTCCATCTGAGGCACTCCTGCGTATTTCCCAGCTTCAGTTACCAGCATCTCAATTGACAGCCCACTAGGGACTCCAGAACAAGTTCCGTCTTCTGATACCTCGCCTGAGTTGTTGGTTATCGGTTCTCTAACAAGGAAAAACAATAATGCGCGCGATTCTACATTTGTAAATAAAGTTATGAACAGTTAATGCTCGAACATGGACAACTCTTATCGGCCTGCACTACGAGTTCTTCTGAGTTAAAGTGGCTTAAAGCGATAACCTGTCTTGCGTCCTACTTAGAAAAAAATCTGTGATTAAATAAAGCAACTTCGGGTAAATGGAAAGAGAGGAATTGAAGGTCAACTTTTCATTTAACACTTTTATCAAAGCTCCTTTTGTGAAATCAAGATTCACTGGTCATCTAACCTTATAACTGGAAGCCAATCGTCAGGAACATCTAGGTCAGCGTTGCCACTGCGACCGACATGGGTGGCTTGAATCAGACTAGCCTGATGAGTCAATATTGTTTCGCGTAACAAAGAACAGTTGCTGATGTCATCGAATGATAATCTAACCAAACACCCTGAAAAGGCATCCTCTCCATAATGGACTGGGGTGAGGGTTGAACCCGCGCACAGACCATCAGAGCTTGGTGACCAAAGTTGGATTTTTCCAGCGGTGACCTGATGGAATTTTAAAATGACAAAATGTTGTAAAATTACGCTGAAAGTGTAAGGCGTCAAGTTGCCTCTTTAGGCAGGGCCTATCCCGTTTCTATACAATAATGAGAAAGAGGTAAAGCTACTCTGCCTGGACGAGATACAGGTCTTTTAACGGAAACCCCATCACAAACAATTGATAAAGTTTCCATGACAGTCAATCAATGCCCATCGACACCCCTAAGTGGAGACAGGCTCTAAAAAAGCAAACTGTCTCAGGCATAAAACATAAAGCAATGGTCCGCTGGGCCAAGGCTTGAAACAATACTTCTTGAACCATGGTCCAGCTTCCACTACCACCAAACGACGTACTCGTTTGTAAAGAGATACCTGGGTCATACAACAACGAACCGCCTTATTGAATTACATGCGGATCAAAAACTCGGTTCTTTTTACGGCAAATGGCGTCCATGAGAGATAAAATAGAAACAGAGACTTGGAAGACGTGCAAGTATCTTTTTTTGTATTTAAGGGGTAAGTTTATTAAGACACTGTAGTGCTGCGTCCCTGGAAGAGTGTACCAGGGTAATTTGGTATTACCGACTGAGTTGATAACGTAGATTTGCCACTGTTAAGAGTTTCAAAGCTGACGTTTCGACCGTTAGCCCTTCGTCAGAGCGAAAGGGCTAACGCTTCAAACGTTATCTTTCTCTGTAAACTGCTAGCGAATAACGACGTCTTACACCGAAGCAGCACTCTACCCCAAGAATCGAATTCACACAAATACTGTTTTGGACTCTAAATAACTCGAATCCATTTCGTGTTTTGTTCTAATTTTTGTTTCATCTTGTACGATTACAAACCGCTCAATCTTTGTTTCTTATATGCTCGATCAAAGTGACAAGACAAAGGCATTTGACAACATACCTGTCCTGTGCTGTTCAGTAGGCGGCCCAGCACTGGACGACCAAGTACATAGCCTGGGTTCCCTGAGCGCTGAACTGGAGTTTGACGAACGCTTGAGGAGTTTGAAGAGTTTCGCAACGCGTGAAGAAATCTGACGGAAAAGTTCTGGCCGACAGTGTTGATGAAAGTATCGGATGTTACTAGCTGAACCATATCTCTAACAAATGGAATCGCAACGCTACCAAGAGTAATTTGCGCTTGTACTGCGTCAATTCGCCTTCCATACCAAGTAAACTCGTATTCGACTTTCGTTACTACATTAGAGCAGGTTCTCGTTGTTTTGTTAAAAAATGGAGCAGGGGGTAAAGAGTCGCCGTCATCAAAGTCACACCTTGCTTCTCCCAATTTCTGAGCCGTCGTGGAAACACTGTCAATGGCATCTGAAATACAGAAATACTGTACTTCCGTACTTGCTATCACAGGTATTTCCCCTACAGTGTCGCCTAAGCTTCCCTCTGCCAGGACTGCCGGGGGCAATGGACACGCTGGTTGACTAAGTTTATTTGGCATTAAATAATTTAACGCGCTCCACGGTGACTGCGAATTACAAAGAGACTCCTCAGATTCAAAAACACATCCAGACGACACGTCTTTCAGAAACCTTACAGCTGCATTCTGGACACATAAACCGTTAAAGACAGATTGTGGCAAAGAAAGGACACCTAGTGTAGCTCTTGCGTAATTTTTATCTTCAGTGTTTGTAGCTGTTTTAATTGTTGTTCCTGCAGTGTAAAACCCACTTGAAATACTCGTTTGCCGTTCTTCGCTTTCTGAGAACGTAAATGCTTCTCTCTTTCTTTTTGCGGATAGTGTGTTAAACCCAGAGGAATCCTGTGCTAAGGGCGGGGAGGTCAGGTTGTAAAAGTAACCAATCAGAGGGTTGTTGTTAATGGTTACGCACAAGAAAGGTTGCCAATCAGTAGAGTCGGGCCAGGAGGCCTGGCAGCTAAATTGAAATGGCTTCTCTGATGTGGCGCCTCCAAAGAATCCTGGGATACAAGTTGAACTTCCGTTTTCGACATCGCTGCAGTCCTGAAAAGAATGAGTTGTTATACGTAGCCAGTCATCAGAAATGGGAAACTCGTAGGGGGTGAACTCGTCGAGGCCAACTCGCAGCGGGGCCAACTCGCAGGGGCGGGCTTGTAGAGGGAGAACTCGTGGGGGGAAAATCGTAAGTGGCGAATGCGTAGAAAGGTGAACTCGTAATGAGGGCCCACTCGTAGTGAGGGCCAACTCGTAGAGAGAGAACTCGTAGGGGAGGGGGGGAGCTCGTGGGGGGGGGAAGGGGCGGGCGAACCCTTAGGGAAGCGGACTCGTAGGGGAGAAGGGAACTCGTCGAGAAGCAGACTCGTAAGGAGGGGGCGAACTCGTTAGGGAGGGGAACTCGTAAGGGGGTGAATTCGTAGGGGTCGGGTCAAACTCGTAGGGAATTAACTCGCAAGAGGCGAACTTATAGAGGGCATACTTGCAATGGAGAGAAACTTCCAGGACGAGTATGCACAGTTAAAACTAAGAAATGAAGGGGTTAAAATATTACCTGATCACAACAACATCCCGTGTCACAAACCGCTTCCTTCAAATTACAAGGACAAGTCAGATCTATATCAGAGACCAAGGTGCTCTTTCTCACGCCACCTACAAGTAAACACTCTTTATTGCTAAACATCTTGACGATCACTCTGCACATTGTATCAGTACTGAAACGAAACTATTTATTATGTGGTTGCAACGGTTGTGAGATTTTCCCAGACGCAATCTCAAGTTTTAAATGTTTTCTCAAGAGCACACCATGTATACAGTATACAGTTTCCGCGAGGTAAGTATAAAGGACAAATATGCATTTATTTGTAATATTCCATCGAAAACCCTCTGACTTAGAATCGCGGACACAGAACCAAAGTAAATACAACCGACGGAAAAAAAAAGCGTCGGACATTTAATTCAAAGAAATAAAACTTGCTTCGAGCCAAGGAATTTGGTTTTTATCAACTGGGTTCATAAGGTAAATTGACCGCCGTAGAGAGTTCTAAAGCTGACATTTGGAGCGTTAGTCCTTCGTGAGAGCAAAGGGCTAATGAAGGGCTATCGGAACGCTCCGACGAAATGTCAGCTTTAGAAACTCTCTATGGTGGTCAATTCACATAATTAACTCACTTGATGAAACCAAATGGTCTTGTAATACCCCCTGTCCCCCACTCCCCTTCAACGACCACCACCGATGCAGCACACAGTTTCTTTAAAAACTTACCCCCTTTATTCCAGCAAAGAAACGCGCGTGATATGTGTAGAAAGTGGAATAAAATTCTGGAGCAATCAAAGAAGAATCCGAAAAACTTTCAACACTTGAATGAAAACTGCTCTAAACCAAGAGGTATGTAAACCAACTACGTGAACCAAACTTGAAAGAAAGGCAGGAGTGCGAAGGGAAAAAGAACCCTGCTTATTAATCTTACACTCTTTTGAAATTACAAGTGAGTCACCACCCACCCGCTCTACGCATTGGCTTGTACTTACTTGTTATACTGCTCCGGTCTATGGGTTGAAGTTTGCGCAGTTCAACCCAAATGAAGGCCTCCGCTGACCGGTTGACGTATAGAAAGCTCAATCCTGTGGCCTGACCACAACAAGTGATTCGCACCAGGCCTTCCGTGCGCCACGCAGGACTTCTACTCAAAGTTAATTCTAAAGTCTGGAATAACTCGCCTTTCTAAAGAATATAAACAATTTAGGATGTGGACGTTTCAGTACACGAATTGACAGGCAGAAACAACGTAATCCAGTATTAAAATATTAAAAAATTGCAAAGAGTTAATACGCATTGCATGATTAAGACTTAAACTGATACGTGACATATGAAATTTACAGAAAGGTAAGGTGAGGTGAGGTTTGAAGTTTCCCTTTATAAATTCGTAGCGCGTAAAATACTGTTTAAAGTACATGTGACGCGAGAATTTTTCTACACCCAATTCACGTGCGTGAACTGGGATTAGGATCTCCCCCCCTCCCCCCCCCCCCAACTCAGTTTGCTACACTCATTTTCGCTACACTTTTCGTTACTTGGATTCATTTTAAATAAAGTAGTCTTGAAAGTATGATTGGCCCGGAATCTTACACTTGAACATTCAAAGATAGTATCTGTAGCAACCCACATATCCAAGGGAAACGTTCTACTTCTGGTACAGCAAAGCGTCGGCCTCTCAACAGACGATGTGTAAAGCCAGGCGAGAAAAATGGCAAGAACACGGGAGATAATAAAGAATACAGCAGAAAGTTGGATCCTAAGTCTTCCAAAACTTGTATCTAAAAACCTCCCCAAATCCATGAGTACAAATGCGACACATGTATATCAACGTTCGTCCACGAAGACGGGATCTTTTCAAATGATTTGAAGAAAGTGTAACTTACTTGGAATTGGATGTCTTTCTTGTTTAGTTTCACAGTACTGTTAGCAAATTTTACTTCATCTTTACTAGGAATGGAACACACTCCTGATGTATTCTGTAAATCTGTTCCAAGTGGTAAAACGTCTATTGAACACGTGACGTCCACGAGGTCCTCAGCTGGTTTGTCCAGTACCAAGACCGCGCTAAATCTCCCGCTAGGAGCCCGGATGAAGCCCACTGGAGGGAGAATCCGCAAAGGGGAAACATCAACAGCAAACGTTACAGTTGGTCCTGAAGGTAAATAATGACAACATGATAAATCGAAAGCTGTGCATAAATCACATATAAGAAAAAAGAATCGAGCAACCGTCACAAGAACCATTCAAAAGTAGTGTTCAAAGAGAGGGGGGAGGGGGGGGAATAAAGCAAAAAAAAAAGAATAAAGGGGTAAGTTTCTGTACTCTGTACTGTTTCTATTGGGTGCAATAAACAACATGAAGTATAGTGCTAAACATTTCATTACCTGCTGAATTGTTGAAAAAGTACTGACGCACTACTCTGTCAGGAGAGACAACATCAACACTCCTTCTCTTTCTAGTTCCACCTGCAGTCACTGATGCTGTTGCTAATGGTACACTTGTCAGTGAAGCTGCAGTCACAGAAGTCCCACTTACTCTGCTGGTAGCCTCATTGACCGCTGAGGATACTGGTGACACTGTCATGTTAAAGGACTCTGCTCTACATATCACTTGCACAGGGTTACCAACTGATACAAGCTCGTAAGACACCTTTATAACCAAACCAAAGAGAATTATGGGTCAAGGCAAACAGAACAATAAGGGAAAATTTACAGTTTGATAAGAGAGAAATGAGATGATTGCTTTCCAAGGAATTTTTCAGAAGGAGCAATGGGCCATTTTGCAGTTGTGCTTAGTTGCCAAGCCTTTGATTTGGAGTGAGGTTAAAGGTAACCTTGTTGCAATAGAGACCAGTATCTAGTTAGCATGATAACAAAGTAATTTCCATTTGAAAAGAAGCAACATTTGTATCATGACAAGGTCACCCTTAGCCTCACTCCTGTTCAAAGGCCTGGCAACCAAGCATGCAACTCTAAAACAGACTGTTGTTGAGTCAGTGTTGGAAGTAATCCACTGTTGCATAGTTGGTTTGGTTTTGCTTTTTGTCACTTAATGAATAAACTGGTGAAACTTACAGAAAGCTTTCTTTCAAGCAAGATCAGCTAGTTCATAGCGAGCACCATATCACATAAATAAGACATTTTAACTTGTAGCATCTAGCAACTGGAAAGAGAAACTGGCTATACTCTAAAAATTCATTTAACACCTGAGCTGTGACAGCACCAGGATCAACTCTTGTCTCTGTAAACTTTATCTGTAGCACTGAAGGGCCACCTAGCAAGGGTGAGGATAAATAGATCACAAATTAGATGAAATAACCTTTGGAAATGGCCACAAAATCTCTTAATATCTAATCCATAAAAATGGTTTGTGTTTCCAAACTAAGAATAAAAAATGTGTGTTTGGGCCTTGGTTACTGCAATAGTAGCAAGTATAATTATTTTAAAGAAAGATATTTTTTGTCATGTCATGAAGAAAAAACTCTTAGTTCTAATGAAAAATTGAGCCCCAGACCTTTGGATTCTTTATAACAAAATCACCAATTAAAAAAAATTTTTTTTAATACTTTTACACTGTCCAATAACATTACTTTTAAGGAGCATGGCAGATTTTTCTCTTGGTTAAATGTCTTTTAAATTGTTTTGTAAGGAGCTGGAGGGCTGATGGTTTTTCAGGCCCTTGGTAAAAAATATGAAGACATCAGGGTTGTGTAGGAGAAAAACAGCAGCTCAAAGCTCTAAAACAAATAGCTTTGAAGACTAATATAGACTCAGTCTCTCTTACTCTTTTAGAAGCAAACATACTTACCATCTGCCTCAACAGGAGTACACTGGACAACAACTGGTAAATCTTTAATCTTCTCACTGCAGAACAAAGGACATTTGATAATTTCTTCTTTAAATATAAAAAGCATTATATATCAAAATTTTTTGAATGGTAGCACTTTAACTGGATGTAAGAGATGAGGTCAGTATACCACAAGGAACTGCTGACCATGACTGCACACTGTTCTGGATGTAAGAATATTTACTGAGGAGTAAATCATGAACTGCATCCTTTGGACCATCTCTAAATTATAAACTACAGACTACTACATTCATATGTAGATAAAGAAGAATCTGAGCAGTAATTTAGTGAAGTTTTGGGTGAAATAATTTTTTGTGGAATTATATTACTCAAACTCTTGGAAAATAGTCTTACTCCAGCAAAAAACTTCACTAAATCATGGCACATTTCCTGTGTTTCTGTTAACACACTCTGTATGCTGCAAATGTTGTAGTTTGCTTTTTACGCCTTGGTCCATATTTTCAACCCAACCCAGAGAATGCAGTTTGAATTCTTTAAAAATCCCATCACTTAAGTCCCCAGTCTATACAGGGTTCATACCCTTTTTCAGAAACAAATTTCTAGCACCTGTAGTCTTCTTCCAGGACTTTCCAGTCCTGGAAAATTTCAGAATAAAATTCCAGGACTTTCCAGGTTTTCCAGGACCCATATGAACCCTGTCTATAGTCAACAGTCTACACTTCATGCCATCATAAGACTCTCTATCCCAGGTATTCAGAGACAGGAATTTTTGTTAACCCACATCAATATTTAAATCAAATGTTGAACTGATTGTTTTTACAAGCCTACGAAATAAAACTTGTGGATCATTACTTCAGTCAATAGTTATTTCACAATGACAGTTAGTAATGGGCCTTATGGTAACACTTCATTAGCGACATTTGAAAGCCTTACACCTGTACATGTATTTCATGCACCTTGCATCATTTCTTTACAAGTTGTCTAAAGAACATTATTTAAGCCATAATCAGTCACATTTCAATATTGTTCTTTGTAATTTTAAAATTAATGTTATGTCACTGCAAGTAAACCATACGTTCACCTGAACTGCACTTGGAAAGATGATTTTGGAAGATATCTTTTTAGCAATATAACATCTGGGCATACATGAACAGTTGGTGCTTTAGTAACATGCAGTGACCTAAGAAAAATAATCATAGATTACAACTTATGCACAGGGAAATATTCATCCAAAGAAAAGTAAAGAGTGAGTAACAGCAGAAGTGTTTTTTACAAGCAGGAAAATACTCTGAAAGATTAAAAAATTGACTGTTCTCACCAATTATTCAGTGGACTTTCCAGAAAAACCATGTCATAAGTATGATGTCATTGTTACAGCATTGATTGATAACACAGTAGTTGTTGCAATTTTTACAAGTAATTTGGCTAATTTGAAAAACTTTTTTTATCAAAATACAAATAAAAATGTAATTTAGGTCATGAGAACGAACATTATCCAATTCCTTTTCCTTCACATAAAAATGCATCATAATGCAGGTTGGCTTCCTCTCCAGTGTCTTGGGTATCTTACTGACATCAAATTCTCTCTTTACAAAAAATTAAAACAGAGGAATAAAAGGCAACAAAAAACAATTACACATTGTTTCCCCTTGATTCAGAAAATGTATACTGTGAGTTGTTTCCTTGACTCTGTCCTGAACACTGAATTGTAACAGGTCGACCAGGTGATATTATCCTGCAAAAGAAACACAGTGTGTACTGTAAATATCCAGTGACCTGAGTCATCTATACACAGTTGACCCTTAAATTCACAGGATCTTTACATTAATTCTCCCCTCTTGCTGCTACACATTTCCTTGAAAAGTAGTTTAAATAATTTTGTGTTAGATTAAGATGACAACTTGCACCTGATAAGTTTGAGTATTCTCATTACCTGTTTGCTGAATGGTGTATGGATATCATAGGGAGAAGTTATATGTTAATCACTTCCAAGGGTTTGATGCTGTAAAAGTGGTCATATCTTATCACTTATTCATCCTTGACATTCTAGAAAAACTATGAGTTGGTGTTGACAAAAACAAAATAAGTCAACTTAAAATTATTTGGTTTTATCAACTCTAAGCCAAAGAGTTTCTAAAGCTGATGTTTCAAGTACTAGCTCTTTGTAAGAGCAAAAGGCTCTGATAAAGGGCTAATGTTCAATTACAAAGTTAGACAATCAGGCTTCACCATTTTAAAACCTCTACATGGTACCATGGAGCAAAGGCAGTTGGAAGATAGTTGCACATAGCATAAAAATACAGTAAATCCCTGCCTATTTAACTGCCGTTCCTGTCGTTCATTAAGGCTACATCAAGTACACTGTATTACTTTTTTGGCAAATGATATATTTGATGTATAAATGATGCCTTTCCCATACACAGTATCATGATGTTATGTATATTCACACCTGAATGTAACATTAACTTCTGTTTCACCAACAGGCACTGTGGAGTTTGTAAATTCTACACTTGTCAAGCCAGGACCAGTGTCCAAAGTGCTGCAAATGACTGTGACCTGAAAACAGATTTTGATATGAGCATGAACTCTTTAATAATAGTAATGAACTGTATTGTGTTTTATCCTCTTGACAAGTAGTATTGATGCAATGTTTGAATAAGGTGAGTTGGTCTTTGTGGAGAAAACAACTGAAACTAACTGGGGGATTCAAATACTCCTTCAAAGCAAGTAGAGAAACTGGCCAAAAACTACACCCACATACGACACAGGTGTGGTAATCAACTTCAAGGGTAGAGATGGGAAGAGAGGGAGAGGGGGAGAGGGGGAGAGGGGTAGAGGGAGAGAGGGGGAAAGGGGGAGGGGGGATAGAGAAGAGAGATGAGGGACAGGAGGAGAGGGGAGAGAGGGGGAATGGGAAAAAGGGGAAAGAGGGGAGAGAGGGGAGAGAGGGGGGAATGGGGAAAAGGGGAAAGAGGGGAGAGAGGGGAGAGAGGGAGGAATGGGGAAAAGGGGAAAGAGGGGAGAGGGGGGAGAGAGGGGAGAGAGGGAAGAGAGGGGAGAGAGGGGAAGAGATAAATAAGAGGAGAGAGGATAGAAAGGGTAGAGAGTGGGAGAGGGGAAAGAGGAGGAAAAGATAGGGGGAGAGAGGTTAGAAAGGGTAGAGAGGGCAGAGAGAGAAGAGATGGGGAGAGGATAGAGAGGGGGGAGGAGAGAGGAGAGAGAAGAGGAATGGGGGAGTACACTCACCAGTACCTCTGGGATTAATACTTGACTTGTACCTGCCTTATCAAGGCAGGTACAAGTCTTACTGTTATCAAGTAATAAATATGTTAAAAAGAACAACACAAAGTTTGCATCTTCTACCCAGTTTCTAAATGGATGAAAGTTAGAAATACACTTATCATGAAATTTTGCTCACACTCCTCCATGAAATGCAAAATGTTGTTGGTAGCAAACTTACAGGTGTAGAAATATTTGCTTCTGTCAACTGTACTCTTAATGTTCCTTGTTGATCATTCTCAGGTATAACAACTACACCTCCTTGGAAGTCTGTCAAGTTGATATTTACTTCCGCTACAGTTGGAAGCCAAATAAAAAATATTTAAAGTTCAATTGGTTATAAGTGGTCCAGGAATTTCCTGGGCCATGTGGTTCAAAATATGATTAACCTAACTGGGGTTAGTGTACTTCTTTTAATTCAGTTTAATAACTCTGCAAAGGGATTTTTCTTTTGCATTCTTTACTTGTTAGTTTTGAGTCATAATGAGATAAACACCAACAAAACCTAAGCTCCTATACACACTCTTCTACAGGTGAGATTAAAGCCAAGATTAATCCTAGATTGGTGCTGACCCCCTTTTGATCAACCAGGCCCTGATGAGCAACATTTCTAGCAACAAAAACAGTAAGTGTACAACAACAATAGTATAAAAAATTAGATAAAGTGTGAAGGATTCCAAGGAAAACTATGGTATTCGCATAAAAAAAGTTATACCAATCTGGCTGGAGTGAAAAGACAAATGTTACTTAGTTTATCATTAACAACAGCCATATTAAGTACAACACTTCTTGTACACATGATACAACAATTTATCATGTATCTTAATGTAAGAGCAGCAGAATTAACGTAGTATGTGTTTGGCATACATCTTTCATAATAGTTATCAAAAATACTCGGTGTCATACAGTAAGAAAGCCTTACAGTGTGCACACGTACATGCTCGAAAAATTCGTTCACTAAAACCCAAAGTGAGTTTTGAAATCGCTTGACATTTCTACACAGACATCTGATGCTCTTAATAAACTAGAAAAACCTCTGAGGAGGAACTCTGTAAAAATTCCTGACAGCCAGAGACACAATGCTTTTTAAAACCCTTTCCGGCAGCAAGACATAGACACAGCTTAAGAAAGTTTAAAAATAAAACAAAGTCTAGAATACAAACTCAGGTGCCATGGCTTACCTCCAGACACCGATTGCAGAAAGTATTTCGAAAAAAATGCAAACGTTAACAAAAACCATAGTTTAGTCATCCTTTTGACTGCTACGGAGACAACTTCACAGCTCTGGGTCGAGAATTAATATTCCTCTGGCGGACGCCGCCATCTTGAAAACATTTATTGTAAGTATACTACGATTCCGATTACATGGAATAGTGGTATTCTAAAGGAAATTGCCGCTGGCTCGCTTTTTTTCCCGTTGATTATACCCTCGTAAGCATGTAACGCCTATCAGTCTTTCCACGAAACTCCAAAAATGTTCACAATAGTAGCGTCTATCAGAAGCTCGTCCACTGAATTCGCCTAGGTCTTACTTCACTTTATTTCCCTAAATTTGATTCAGAAAGTGGACAGGACACGATCGAACCTGCCCTTGGTTAGGAGCAACCTGAAGTTGTTGCCCATCACAACAAACCAAAAAAAAAAACCATGAAAAAAAAATCAAAACAAATATTGATAAAAATTCAACAGCATAAAATGATATAGAATGGAACTTCACTTATTTCATGATGAGCGCGCGCCGTGTAAAGTGACTCCATTATGACGTCATCTATTTCCATGGACTCGAGTTTGCACTCTGTCAAGTTTCAGTTTGTAGATAGGGCATTTTTCCAAGAGGAAACTTCTTAAGGTAATTTCTAAAGAGCATTTGATCCACTGTTTTTCAACATTCACAGAATCACGATGTGGTTGTTAGTTAAACCTTATTTGAACGTCACGGAAAGTTGTAAAATATACCGTTATCTCGGTGCGAAAAATATCATGACCAAAGCAAAGACAAATGTTTTCTATTTATTGAAGCGGAAATTTATGTGCCACGGAACAACCCCCGCCCCCATGGCTCCACAAAACAAAGCCATAGTCAAGGATCACCTTTAACGAAACTGAATTCATTTGTTGCCACAACTCTACCACGTTTCTCAGCCAGTGAGTTCATGGTTCTACTTTATTTTCTCTTGTCAGATATCACCTCCTTAGTCGATTTTAAGTGTAATAATGGAGTCTGTCACGGACAAGGCCTCAACCTCAAGCAATCGATCGCAGCAAAACAATCAGAATGTAGGTATTTTACAATTAATCAAAACACTTTACTAATATTTTAGTAAATATATCTATCTCAATTTATTAAGTACCACTGACAATATGTATCAAGAATCCGCCGACAATTGCAAAATTTCGGAATTAGTTTTATTCTTCTTAGTCGGTCCGAATAGCGACCCGTTGAAATGATGTACTTTGTGTCTTTTTCGTAGAGGTAAAATAAAGGTCTTCTTTATAAGCTTATAAAAAGGTCTGGTAAATCTTAAAGCTTTATCCTTGTAGTTTAATGCCTAAAATTTTATTTCTTGGCCCACCATAAGAAGCGCGTCCAGGTTGAAAAGAGTTTGGGCTATTATGACAAAAACCGCGATGTGAACCGTTGAACGGCTGCAAACTCGTGCTTATATAAAAAAAATAAATAAACAACTTTATTTAAGGAAGGTCTGCATTAATTTGAGTAATCATACTTATAAACAGGACAGCTTCCTTGTAAACGCTTTAAGACTAAAGTACTCTTATTGAACTCAACTTCGTCCTAGAAAGGGACCCACGCTTATTTCTTAAAGAGTTTCACATTGTTCGACCTTGTGTCAGCTTCCAAGATAACTCGGGTAACGCGTTTTGAAGCTTGAAGACTCTCATTACGTTATCACTTGAGCAGTTCGACCAAACAGTTGATCCATATATCATTAATTGTTTTATCACTGCGTTATAGTATAATATGCGCTGTTCAATGTGGAGGAATCTTATCTCTTAATTTTAATGCAACGATCGTATTTTTTCTATTATGATGCATTTCCCATGATATCTAATGAAGCACATCAATTAATTCTTGTGCAAATTATCTACTTGATTTATTTTGAGAAGCTGTAGTTTTCTTGATGTAGGACGTCCAAAGACCTCCTCCCTTAGCAACGCTCTTGCATTAGACCTTCCTTTTTTCTATTCATGATAATATGATTAACCATTTTCCTCGAAAAGAAATATACTCAAGAGGAAATTGATGCAGCCTACGCTCTTCTTGCATTGAGCAACTCAGCCCCAGACCCATCAGCAGGTAACAGAGCTGCGCGTCCAAAGCTTGAAGCGGAACTTTATGTCACAATGGATGAACCTCCTATGGCTCCACAAAACACGTCTATAGAACATCACCTAAAGAGTGTCCAACACAGCATGGATAGTCAAGTATCACCTTTAACTAAACTGAACTCATTTGTTGCCACGACTCTACCAGTTAGAGAAGGACATTACGTTTACAGTCACTACGTTTCTCAGCCAGTGAGTTCATGATTCTATTTTATTGAAAATTTCATTGATCAATCCATGAACAAGGGCCATTTATTTCAGAAATGTAACAAACTTGCTAACTTCTGTTGTGAAACTTTTGGGAAGTAAACGCAATCCAATGTTTTTGAGAGACTGAACATCTCGTTTTATCACCTTGCTGTGACTAGTTGGTCAAGTATGGCTGTGTGCTGTGTCCGAAACTTAAAATCGAACACCGAAAAATTGTTTCGTTTTCCGTTTTTTCCAATATTTTTTGGGCGTTTTACCACACTTAGCCAGGAAATACATATTAGAGATGAAATAAACAAATCCGCACTATTAAGAATTAAAACCTGTTGTTTAACTTTATTTCAGTGCGACATTACCATGTGGAGATGCGAGACTCATGGATCCTGGTCTTGTCAACAGTGTTTCCATGCAGCAAACCCGTAAAGAGTTTTTTGAAAGCGTGTTTTATTAAAAAAATGCTTTTCAATGAAAAGAATTGACGCAAGTCTTAAATAAAAATGATGCAATAAAAAGCTTTTATTAATTTCTATCCTCGATGTCGTTCCTCTTATTTTCGGATCAATCGATGAATTAAGTAATGCATAGATTAATTCGTGGTGGACGAGGTTCTATGAGTCACGGCTCTGAGCCGGTGCCATAAACATGCATCGAGCTGAATGACAGTCGCCTTTAGCTTCGTTTAGACGCTGTTCAATCTTTAGTCTTAAGACTGCAACTCTTGCCGCTTTGCACATGTCAGACCAAGCGGGATAGAGAGTCCTGTCTGCACATGGACAGGATATCTGTCCTAAAACCGCACAGATCTGTTTCCGGTCCTATTGGTCCTGTCGTCTAAAGAAGGATAAGGCCACACAGTCTTCACACTCCTGTGCTGACTTCAAGTAAAGTGATGTTCGGGCAGATTTCTGCGCTGACGATGGCGACGGCAAAGCAAAAAATAATTCCATCTTTTTGGGCATTGAAAACCTTAGAGAGAGAGACTCGTGTTGGCATGCCCGTATTCATAGGGCGTGGCTTTAATTTAGCCATAAATTTACACTGGTAAGAACCATTTATTTCTGTTCGGACACACCTGACACTGACCTGGAAAGTGCACAACAAATTAAATCCGCGTGTAGATGTCATTCCTGTAAGCTTGTAATTAAAACACAACCTCATAAGCTTGTTGTCTGTTTTTCATGCGTATCCTTTCCAGTAAAGCATTTCGCTTAGCTTCTGGTGGCAGTTGAATCTTTTTTTTAAATTTTGGGTATTTATTTTCAAGTATAAAGTTGTCTGAGATCACGTTGATAAAATGGTTCAATGTTAGTCTGGTATCCAGACCCTCCATGGTCAAGCGGTCATTTCGGTTACAGTTACACGGTAGGATCTGGGTGCGAGATTAGTTCAATGTATCACTGGATTTCCTTTCACTACTACACGGGGTAAATCTGTGGGTAATTTCCTTCTATGTGGACTGTCTTGACTTCCGGTGCATCACCAACCGGATATTGTCTATCTCCAGGTTTGACTAGCAAACGTATGGTGTCAGATTTTACATCTACGTCTGCTTTATCCTTTGTCGCCGTAATTGATAAAACACCGGCTTTATGTTCCACCTGTCAAGAGTAGAATGCATAGGCCTCAGCGATAACCTTGATCACATAAAGTGATTTCATCTGATTTCATCTGATTTCATTTCCAGATACTTTCTTAGTGAATTTGGCCTCCGTTCCTTCCCGTGCAAGGAGGTATGTAGGCAGATTTCCCGAACGGCGACTGGCTATGGAGCCTTCAGCTCGGGATAGAGTTCTTTTAGAGAATCTGACCGAAAAATTGCAAATATCCGAGCTAGTTAGAGTTCGAATCATGACGGAAACTGACGCAAATTTCCGTCAGTTTCCCACGCTCGCCCGATGTATTTAACCGTGATCCTTCTTTAAGAGGTATTTACTGACCGTGAAGCGGCAAGTCTCTTTCACTCAGGGGACATCATTTCACATTTTTCTAGCTTTTTTCATAAAAAGACAGAAAACTGTTACACCTGACAACGACAGCAGACTTAAGATCAGAGTTGGCGAGTCTTGCATGAATGTAGTAACGTGATTTGATATGTTCAAAGGACTCGATAGACTATGAAATACGCCAAAGATAGCAAATCTGCAATTGCCTGATGCAAGTATAACTACGTCTGGGACTACTGATAAACAAATAAATTTAAACTTAAGGAAATTTGTTAAGCGTACAAATGTAAAATCGATCGCTATTGCTCTCACCCAAATTTCTCAATCATTAAAGAGTATATACCTGGAAGTGAGGCTTCTGAAACTCCTGCGGAACTGGTGAAGACTTGGTTTGTGATATCAATAGGAAGATGAAAATAACAAAAGAGAGCAAATAGATTTTAAGAGAGTTTGTTAATCCAGAAACTGCGGCCATGATGAATATTTGTTGTTACGATTTACTATAACGCACGTAAACAGGTGAAGAAGACAAACAAAAGGCGCAGATTAGCAAATAGAATCGACGAAACAACCTGTTGAATAAATATTGAAAGAGAGTGAGCTGAGAGGAAATGAGACGAGAAATGAAATCTCGCAATATGTAACTCTTTTTTTTTCTTTTTACGCACTCAATACAGAATTCCTTCATATGGCCTGGAACAAATTAACTAAATGAATTACGTGGTTTTTACGCCGGGCACTGTTGTATGTTTTATGGTGTTGTAGCTTTTGTTGAATAAATAAACACTTGAAATGACCTGAAGTTTACGAAAACATTAATTAGCGCCGAGAAAGAAAATCATAAGCAATATCAGCAAAAACTCATAGCTTTTATTTACGTCCGGTCAGTAACACAAGATCTGTGAGTTTTAACGTAACTCTTGGCGCGAGCGACTTAATCAGACCACCCGATATATATGCCTGGTGGCAGTTAGTGAGGTTTGAAATTAAGCCATCGCACTTTTAATTTGCAGCCGAGAACTGGCGGAAAGGGTTTATTTCAACAAAAAGACACTGAGAAAAAATAGGAATTAAAATAAAGCCCGTAACATTTATTTCGATTTTCCAAAGGATTTTGGTAAAAATGATGTGAAAGGTGCTGACTCTGATTAATTATTCAAAGTGACAATCACGAGAGTTTAAAACAGTCGATAGCGACCGGTTAGAGGCATTTTTGATTCAGTGAAGTTTGCGGATATGGCAGCGTCTTTGTGCCATATATGTAATTTTTATCAGTAAATCGCCGTTATTTTATCATGATGATAAGAGTTTTATTCTTGTTTCTTTGGTTGTCCGATGCGCGAGCTCAGGGAAGCGAAGGACAAAAGGCACATTTTCAAGTTGAGGACAAATCAGGGGATTTGAAAATCCTGGCAACCAAAGACCAAGCGAAGGTAACAGCACAAGCGGACTCAGTTCAAGTTGTAGTCAAGCCTGGTACGGCCGAATATCCTGTCCTTAAATCGGACAAACCCGTAGTGCATGTGACTCAGGCTGGCTGGAACTCAATAAGCTTTCGTAAATCTGAGATTTCCAGGAGGAAGATGCCTGTAGGTCCGCGAGGAAAGAAGAAATACCATGTAAATGATTCGACGAAACGAAGAGTCCACTTAAACACCGCAGAGACAAAGCAAGGAAGGGTAACACCAAAAAAAGGTCTATCCTTTTTGAGTACCAAACGAAAACATAAAAGTAATTCTTTACAAAGCGTTTCAGGAAGTAAAAAGTCAGATGTGAAATACGGAGGATTTCAAGTCCTCGGGAACGCGGGAAAACTGAAAATGCACGTAACAAAGGACGAAACTACTCTAAGCAGCGAGTCAGGGGGAGTTGATATATCACTGAACAAGCAATCATCGTCGTCCTCTAAATCTTCCAAGGCTTCTGATCAACGCGCATTGGATGTTAACCGGCCTCAGAAGTTTACCGAAGAATCGGCAGACAAAACAGTTCACATTGCTACCGAGTTAGAAAATGCCTTTTCAGATATTGGTTTGAGGAAATCCGAGGTCACCAGGCTCCATGATAACAAAATAAATCGACCGACTCGCTGATGCAGTCGAGGTTTGGTGTCAGAGACGTGAGCCGGACGTTTTCATCTGAGGATTGTACACTAGCATACTAGTATGGTTATTATGACAAATATTTCTTATTTAACGTTTTGGTGTATAGTATTTTTACGAATTGTGCCATATTTTGACGAGCCCGTAAGGCGAGTCAAAATAGATACAAGGAATAAGAATTCTCAGCAATAGTACATACCAAAACGAATGATAACTTATTTGTCATCAAACTGCTTTATTTTATATACATTTCGTATAAGGTGGAAAAAGCAAAGCAGATAGAGAAGCGTAGGACGCGCAGTCGACCAGTTAAACAGGTATTTTTTTACAATACAAAATTTGATAATCAACTGTCCAATATCGCAAGATGTTTTAAATCGATTCGCGCGCTATTTGTATTCTACCTAGTGCGGTTGGAAAATAAATAACTTTCATTTCGTTTTTTATTACCTTGAAGTCAGCCTTTTGAATACCAAACTTATGATCAAAGCGCACAACAAAACAGCGTGAACACACAGTGATGCTAGCGCTTTCCAAAAAGTTCATTCTACTAACTCTATCACCTGATCACTTTATATCTAGCGATTTCCATTGTCTAATTTAATTCCCAGTAACCACCTCATACTTTCCGTAGACAATCAGGTTACTTGCGCCATAACAGGTCTTTTTAAAAGTAGACGCGCGGCCTATGACGAGTCTAATGACCTATGCCCAACTTCCGCACTTCACATCCAAGGTGCTTCAGGTCCAATTTATAGACCGCCGGGCATGTCTAATAAAGATCACTGATGTCTGTCATACAAGCGTTTTTATAACAGAACGTACGGCATAGCTGACATATGCTCTCAAACGATAGAAGTTTTACATGCTGTCTTTAGAAGCTTTATATACTAATAAGGGGGGGAATGGGAGGAAGGGGATTATCCTGGAGGATAATGGCAAAATGAAAGTACCCAAAGGGTTGCTCACTTAGAATACATCCTACACCTCTCACTTGAAATTGTCCCGTTTCCCCGTCCCCAGCGAGAAAACTAAACTAGCCAACTAGAAGATTTAAAGCTTTCATTATTAGATGAAAATATTCTGAAAGGCTTTGGTACATACGGGTTCTAACTCAGATTATAATAAGATACAAACAAACCTTTGTAAACATTTCAGGCGCCGTAATCTACATTATTTTGATGTGAGCAGAGACGAAAGTTTTCAAAGAGAAAACGAAATGCACAGTCCGAGTTTCGAAGGTTTTCACGCGTATTTAGATTTCAAGCTTACCTACGGTAATAAGAAGCAAACACAGCTAACACTCGCATAGCATATAAAGTTTCGTGTTAAAAAAAAAAACAGAACAAGACAGGAATTATGAAAAATATCGCCAAACTGGCATAACTGTTAAAAATTCCTACTAATTATGACGGTATCAGTGCGAATGCGATCATGCTGAGGTCCATCGCTGCTAACTCAGTGTGAAGCAAGCCTCAAAAATTACATCGTTCATTCATAAAACACTCGCATTGAAGAGTTTGTTTTCTACTTTATGTGAAAAAAACTTGTGTGTTTTTATGAGCCACAATTCGGCCGCATTTCATTGAACATTTCACTTTCAGATTCTGTATTGGAGACTAAAAAATCTTCCGGCGAAAGTGTTGACTTCGACCTGCCGATCTCTTAAAGTTTGTAACTATCGCAGAATGTAAACTTTGATGGTTTTTAAACTTTGATGGTTTGACATTTTTGACAGCCTTAGTCTTGTTCAGCCAATCAGATTATTTGTACCATTCCCAGTGGGTTTCTGATTGGCTTATTGAAGCGTGCTTTATGAGAATATATAGGGGGTAAGTTTCTAAAGAAACTTGTGGTGCTCCTATCATGTAAACGTGACCAAAATAAAATAAGAAATTATATGGACAGGCGGGTTACCCCAGTTAGGCCGGTTACCTCACCTACCTGGGGTCCCCCACCTCCATATAATCAAGCCCTTAATGTTAACAACTGAGTTGAAAACGAAAATTAACCAAATTTTACTTTTGGCTGTCGCCAATTTACGTTTTATGAGAGTAAAGACTGTTGTTCGCTTTGAAAAGAAAGCTTTTTTTGAAAATTGAAAGCAATGCGTTCGTAATTTAACGAATTTTTTGTTATAAAACAAACAGAAAAGCCTTGACTTTGCTCTGTCAGTTGTAACGCATGCAAGAAGCGGCTAGAACACGAAAGAAGTAAAGAGAGAAACACGAGACGTATTCGACTGTTTCTCTTCACTTCTCAATCTATAATCTCTTGGTCTCGTGCTTTTAATAGCAAAATGTTGTCATTACCACACAACGCTTGAGCGAAGTAACATTATTAAACCGATCATTCCACGTATTTTGCGATGTTATGCAAACAAAAACAACTTGAAGAGGTACTCCCAGTCTCTGCTCGGCCAAACCCAAGGGCAGAACTTAGCACTAGAACGAGGGCACTCGATTTAGTTTGTTTTGATAATTCCTTTTGTGCCTAGTGAGACTTTTAATGTTATTGTGTTGTATTTCAGAAAGTCGTAAAATTATGCTAGGGAACCATGAGGTACAGGGAGACATGCAAGATAAAGTGAGTTGTCACCTTGAACCTGATCAAGAGGTGGCAGCCGTGTTAGGAACAGGTGGGTGATCGGGAGTGGGAAATTTAAACCACGTGGCGATCGATCGACAAATGTTACGTTTGCCACCACAAAAGATCACAACACGCTTTCTTGATTATTTGAATTTTTGGCTTTCAAATTTTATATTTTCTTGCTGAACTTTGATCGTGCGCGACTGTGATCGCTATCACGATGAAAACAATCTTATAGGAGTTTGAATAACACCTAACAAACTAGTCTGAGAGGACTTGAGGATATTTTTTTTGGCCTAACATTTTCTTATAATATACAATTAAAAATATACTCAACTATTCTTTCATAGACCCTAATGTTTCCCAATCAGGCGCAACCAGCTCAGCCAGGCGAGGCTCAAGGTCTTCCTCAGCAAAGGAGTTGACAACTGGGATAAAGGTGTGTCACTCAATTTTGACACCAGTATTGGTTACATTTTTCGAGGAGAAAATTTTTCAAAACTTTTTTTGGTACTCACCCCTCCCTCCTCTCTATGATCAGTGATGAAACTGCATCAAGGCTTCAAACATGCCTTTTTTCTTAGCAAACAAATGGGAGAGTTAGGGGCAGTTGGCATATTCATTTGTTTTGTTAAGATTGTAACAGTTGTGTTAGAGAAAATTTATTAAGACTTTTAACACGTGAGTCTTGGATTGATTATTCACAAAGCATCACAAAGTCCAACAATTTCGTTGTAAATTCCTCCAGCATCTCCAGCTAAACCATATTTTGAGGCAGCATGCCTAATCCTGCCTCTCATAACAGCCTGACATCTGCTGATGTTGGATTCTACGGCCTCTCCACTTCTGGGTTTGTTTCTGAGTAATTTATAAGTGGAGTCTACCAGGAGGATTTTTTCTTAAGGATATAAAGATTAGATGCCATTTAGCATTTGGCTGTATAACTTTACATAAAGAGACTCAAGGGATTTTATTTGTTTCTTGCCTTAAGTTTATTAAAATGCATCTGTTTTTGCAGATGTTGGAGCATGACATTCAAGAATCTCTTGGCACTGGTGATGCAGCAGCACAGTGTAGGCTAAATCTGTCCAGATCAGTTATATTTCCTCAGTTTAAAAATGTTTGCAGAATCCAAGAATGTATAATATTGTATTGCAGGATATATTTTTCAAATTTGCCATATCATAATGTTCTGCATCACTAGCCAAACTCCCACAGGCTTTACTGAAAAGCTACTACAGACAGGAATTGCACCTCAAACTACAAGAAAACTAGTCTTAATTGGATATACCCCATGTTTATTGCATACCCTGTATAGAGCGAACACATAAGAAGTCCACTTTTGTCACCCCTTATCTACAGTAAAACAATCAATCTTGTACTGGGGGATAGCTGGGATTTTTAAAAGGGGAGTGGGGATGGTATCAGAATAAGAGTACCCAATGTACCATCATGTTGACATCCACACTGTGTTTTACTAAATCTGAATTTTTGTGGGGCAAGCAGTAAGTAATTCATGCCTTGTAGATTCTTTGGAGTTTTGCTTTTTGTTTTTTTTTAAAAAAATCATTTTGCAAAGGACTACCCCAAGTCTTCCCCTTTAGCTACATCATGCTATATTTACGAGACTCCTCTAATAAGCCAAAGCAGATCCTACATTTGAGGTTTTCTTTTTCTGACTAAACCTTTGTTTTAAGCAGACACTTTCAGTTATGGGATTTTACTTGAAATTCCTTATCTTAGTTCAAGTTCACTAAAGTTTAACAACCCAAGAGAGGCAGATGTGGTTTAAAAGCATTATATATTGACCTAATAGAGTAGAAATAGACTCCAAGTATATTTACAGTCATATCATAAATCTCTCTGCAATCTACTCAGGCATAGTATACATGAGAAGGAAGAGGCTTAGAAAAAAAATCATGTATTTAATAGCCGACAATGTTTGTTTTTAAAGCTGTACCAGACAGAAAAATTAAACATGTTATCATTGCACAATGTACCAGAATGGCTACCTATTCTACAGCTGGTATCAAAGGAATACTAGCAAGGGTACTGTAGGTGTGCTTGTTACACCAGTTTGACTGTATACTGTTTTGCTGTTTCCAGACCCCTCTCTACATTTCTTGGCAGCTCAGGGTGAAATTGCAAAAATAAAAGAGGAGATTGACAAAGGTTTGCATAAGATTTGAAGTCAATTTATTATCTGATAGAACATTAGAATCTGGTTTCTTTAGCATGAAGCAGCAGAGTGTCTTTCTACTTTCCCATTTAGCAGATTCTGTTATTTTGTACCCTACCTAAACCTTACTCATCTCATGTCCATTAGACTTGCCATTCAGATCAAGTCTCAGCATATTGCATTCAGTTTCAAATGTATATTACTTTACACTGGTTACATTCTGAGTGGAATATAGCTTTAAGTTTCAAGCAGGAATTAGAGAGGGTCAGGTGAGAGTGCAGAATAGATTGTAAAACTCAGATTACCGTTAATAGGAGGAGCTTTCTGAGAGGTCTTTCCTCTATGACCTGTTGGATGCTCACCATTATTATGTTTCCCACTGGTTTGTACTCTGCAGGAACAGATGTAAATGCTGTGGATAAAACAGGTTTGACACCTCTGGCTTGGGCAGCAGCTCATAGGCAGGTAATATCATGAGAGATAAAACACTCAATCAAACTGTGGTTCAGAGTTGCTCAGTTATATAATGTTACTGTTATAGAAAGCAACTATATCTGTGCTGCTCAAGAGTGGTGCAGATGCCACATCATGCAGTCCAACTGGAGAGACGGCACTCTCATTTGCTGCCTGTCAGGGCCAACTGGATGTTGTTGAGCAGCTTTTGGAATATGGAGCTGATCCAGATATCGCAAATGTGGTTTGTATTAAGTTTTGACCTGCATGTGATACATGTTGTATTTGATAAATGCCTGTTCAAAAGGTTATTTCACAAGTTAAACACTTGAATCACACATTAAGGTCACATGGATCAAAGAAATGATCACCAACCAAACACACTTGTGATTATTACACAAAGTCTCCTTGTAAGCACCATAGGAAATGTATAGAGAACAGTATGGAGAATATGCATACTGATGTTAGGGTGTGAAGGGTGAGTAAGCAGCATAAATTTATTAAGTATTGTTGAATAATCCCTAAATGGGCTTCAAAGAAAAAATTTCTGACTGCATTGATATGAGATAGGCACACAGATATGAAAATTGCTTATGTTGTGTAATGTTTGGTGTAATCACAATGTGACTAAATTTTGATTGCAGGAAGGAGGCACACCTCTCATGTATGCAGCTTATAATGGATACCCCCAGGTTGTTAAACTTCTACTTGGTAAGAAAACTTTTTCTACTCTGCTCCTCGGTTGAGTATTGCAAAATCAGAACCAAGTTTAAATTTATCAGGAACCCATCAGAACTCAAACAGCCCCTGGTGTGGGAAAATCAGGATAGTTAAGTTGGGATTTGGATTAATTCTGTATCTGATTCACCGATGGAATGTTTCTTGTGTCTAGATGGACCAATCACAAAACATAAATAAGTGTTAACTTTTGATGAACTTGTGTGAACTAATTAACAAATAGGTTCCCTGTTGCATTGGGTCTGTTCAGTAATAGATCACCAATGGCAACAAAATACCGTAAGAAAGAGAAAGTGGCCCACGAGGCGCAGCCGAATGTGTCACCCATGTTCTTACCACGTTTGGTTGTGTTCTGTGATCTGTTACTGTAGAGACCCTGGGCAACCTACAATCTATTTATTTTGTATGGCAAAAAAGCAAAATTTTATGTTTATGGTGACATCAACTATTGGACTTTCCTCCAATAGATCATAAGTAAAACCCAATCAAAATTCATATATAATTCACTCTATCATATAAATCTGTTTAGAACATGGAGCAGACTTAACAGCTACAAACAACGAAGGTCACACCGCTTTGAGCCTAGCTCTAGGAGTGGGAAACAAAAATGGTAAGTTAGTGATGAGAACAGAGCTCTTCGTCAAAGTAGTATTTTTTTTTTATTTGTCCATTCTTGCCAACTATAAGACTTCACTGACGGAAGTGCTGTGCCTAGAGCCAGATACAAATCCATTGTCAAATTGGAGAATGAAACACGCCAAATCTTGACATGGGAAGAGAGGATCATACTGAGGAGGTATTAACAGATAACTACACAACAACAATGGTTAGGGATCGAGAAAATTGACATGGAGTCTCATAGGATAAGAGTAAATATCGATTCGTAAACAAAAGAAAAACAAAAAAATTCAAATTCAAAACAAAAGATAAAAAGAGGGTTCTCTAGACATTTCCTACGGAAATTACAAGGAGAATTTGTCTAACAGTCAAGAGCTTGTTGAGTTCGCAATCATTTCCTTTTTTTTCGTGACCAGTAATGTTTGATTCAGGGGTGATACTGTTGGGAGACCTTAGATGCTTATCACTGTTAGGGGTGAAAGGGTTAAGAACTCGATTGAGACAAGTCACGAAATTATTTAAGGCATTGTACGAAGTATCTGCTGACAATGATTTCCATGATGGATCGGAACTATAATTGTTTTCTTGTCGTTTTTATGCATGGCATGAAAACAAAATGTTTCCTTTTCAGTCCAGCGTGTCATAGAAGACTATCTTCGCTCCATCCTGGAAAACCGAGCTTCCTCGTCTTGCTATGGAGAAATTCAAAAGTAACTCTTTTCGTCACGTCGCAACACCGCAATATTAAACACGGGAAAAGGGACTTACTTAATTAATGCGCCCCTAACATACTTCACCCAAGGAATCATGGAAGTCTTGCGAAGAATTATGTTTACGAACTTGTCAGTGGGCGAAGCATACCTGAATCCAAAGGAAAACTAACATCTTTCGAGTGTACTTTGTTTTAATAACAAGTTATTTTTCTATAGTTCTATCTGACGCTCAATTCTCAAATGGGAACAATTGGGTATTACTTGCACTCAAAACTGCGTGGATGTAAAAGAAATGCTATGACTAATTATTAAATACGAATCTTATTTACTATCTAAGATAAACTGACTGTTGGTTTTCTTATTGCTTCAGTTCTCTGTCAACGTTGAGTCTGTTTAAATTTGAGTTTTGGTTCCCGATTCCCTTGAGCGCGGAAGTTTTACCGCCTTTTTCCAGGTCGCATTTGAATTTGAGCGGCGAAAAGCTGGTTATCATCATGGCCTTTTTACGTCTCATATTGGATTGTTATGAACCTTTTCACTCGATCCCAAGATCTACAGTATAAGTATCCTTACTGCCAATCATACAATACTTATGATTTTAGTGCAGAGATTTTGGTATTGGATCAACTAATAATCCCCTGATTGATATTTCTCTTTATTCTCGTCACTTGTGTGCTTGATATTGTATTGATATTGTATTGATATTGTAAGGAGAAATTATGTCTTGGTCACTCATGGCAGTTGAAGAGTTAAGGATGGAAACTTCTGGCCAGAGTGTTTACCTACAAGGAAATCAGTACGTTTATAATTGATCGTGAGAAGATTTCAGCATTCTTTCTTTCTGCTTTCGGCACCTTTTCTTTCTCCTTTCTTTTCTATCTCTCTTTAGTTATTGAAAACAGTTTGTTGCGAAACTGTTTTTTAAACGATCCATTCTTAGCATCGCTAACGAGAAAGAGTTTCCATCTCTGCGTGAAGGAATCTACGCACGCTATTGCTATTTAGATGCAAGTGAGTTAAGCAGAGGCATTTTTGTGTCTAGAATGGCAGCCGGAGGTTGAAGGTTTCTTCCTTGTCGCTTGCCACAGATCCTTTGTTTGTAGTGTTTAGGTAAAAATGCGAAACTAGAGCCTTACCAATGAATTAGCTGATGTCAAAACGAGCCAGGAGCAGTTGCATTCTCCCCCTGAGGCCTTGTTGGAAACAAAATCGCTTGCGTGTAAGTTTCCAATATCATAAAGACAATGCACGGACTCGAACACGAATAATTTTCGTGCGCCGTTAAACCACGATCTGCCGTTTACGTGTGGTAGCATCAGCAATCTCAAAAGTGATTCAAATACTTAAGCGTATTTCTGTTGATTGTCTTAAAACTAAAACCAATAACCGCCGCCAATCAGGACGAAGAGAAATATTACAAAGAGCCAATGGGAAAGCTGCACGAAGCGCTGAAAATCACGACTATAACCAAGCCTTGATGGGCTTTAGTTCCGAATGGTTAGAGGGCGTTAGTGTTCAAAAGAAAGAGGGGGAAGCTCTCCGTTACGAAGGGCTGTCATGTTCTAGATCTTCTCAGTACCTAATTTGGCTTTTGAGGGTGAACATAGGCTGTTTTCAGCCTCTTAGACAACGTGCATTAACATAACTTTGAATCCAAAAAAGTCAAAGATGTAAGCACAAATATTTGTAAAGTTCAATCCTAGAGAATATATTTTTGTCGTAATATGAACTTCGTTATAGACCTCGCTCGCCACAGAGTCTCTGTGGCTCAGTGTCAGAGAATTGTAACGGGGAATCCGAGGGTCTGAGGTTCGATTCTTCATGGGGACTCAGAATTTTTTCTTGTCTCACGCTCGCGATAAGACGAAATAACATCTCTCTCTATTTTTTTACCAAACTCAAAAATTACCGTGTCTCCTATTCTAAGTTCAATCTTTTTCTTCCTTTTGTGTCAAAGTTACCCTTTGGTTGTATTGAGTGCTTTTCTCACCAAGCTGATCATGGTGAGATGACGAGACGGACAAGACTGACGAAGCAAATACTCGCTTTCTCTTTGCGCGATAAGGTCACTGCTATTCAGACTTGACCTGATTCATGTCTCGTTACCAGTCCTTCACTTCGTAATCATCACTTACTAGAGGGATTGAAATGTTTGCTTGTTGCTCGTGTGATCCTTCCACAGGTCTGTATCCCATCAACTGCATCACATGTCTGCAATAATATTCAATGATATTTATTTCGTATGGGTGGACTTTCCATCGCCAGCGATTCATGGCAATTTTTGCATCATCCACAGTGAAAGCAACCAGGCTACCTCGTATTTCCATCTCAGATCTTCGTTTATCCGGATGTGTACTTTCATTTAACCATGTTGTAACACTGTCTAACACCGATAGCCCGGCAAAGTCGAACAGTCGCTTCATTTCGTCCAAAGGATTTTTTGCAAAGTCTTCATACCTCAGCACTTTGATTTTGCTTCGTTGCCAAGGGGGAAGATTCTTGACAAAATTAAGACTTTCCTCTGTCTCTTTACATATTTTGTAGCTAAACATTCTTGTTCCGTGCTTAGCAACTCCATGTACCTCTCTGTAAAAGTTAACACTCAGTGAAGAAGGTATCACGGCACGAGGGTCTCTTACTAACAGCACTGTTTTACAGTCTATGTCTGGTGAATCGCAAACAGCTAGAGCCTTTCTTATTCCGCCTTTGCGCGGCATGCGGCTTAAAAGAACCTTAATCACAGTGAGTGTATAGCTATTTTTGCATGCATTTTCAAATGCTTCGCTTGTCATTTTGGCACAAAGTCGTGGATCCCATCTCGGGTCGGATATGTTGTAAGGACAAAGAGGTGGCGAGGCAATAGCGTGACTAATCCGAGGATGAAGAGGTTTGCGGTAGTACGTTTCAATGTCCTTCAAGAAGACTTGATCTGTGAATTTACATTGTAATACACCAGTTAAGAATTTCTGCACAAGGCTGTCATAATTTAAGTGAAATTTTCCCTGGGTTCTTTCCACAGTTTGCAGCGGTTCGTACATGTAAAACACATCTGGGTGGTGATTAAAAATGTCTCCGGTGATTGAAGAACCCGAACGGCCGTGGGCTATTATTATTAAGTTTCTCCTGGCCGAGGGCGATTTTCGTTGTGTAGGCTGTTCCACTATAGAGTGTTGTAGAGATGCATGGTTTGCCAGATAAATTCCAAATACAGCAAAAAACGACAGCAGCGAACCAGCTACGATAACTCGACGCCAAAATGGCCACCTGAAGAAAAAAATCTTCCTTCGTCTTCTACGCTTCCAAAACTTCATCTCTAGCGTTTCAACGACATTTCCCTTGTTTGAAACCTATTTTAAAGAAAGCAAGAAAATCGGCAAGTGTAAATAGTATCGTATTCACCAACTACAGTGGAAGTCTACGGAAATTTTTCTCAACTAAGGGAGACCAAGCCAGATAGGTTCGAAATTTGTGAATGAAATGTGAAGCGTGCATAAGGTTTAACTAAAAGGCGCAGAGAGAAAAAATATGTATAAACGCTAAAGATAAACAAAGTAAATAACAACAAGAAAGCAATTGACAAAAGTAGCGTCAGCATGTTGACTTCTAATTGACTTATTGTTTGCAAGTCCTTTGCTAGGTACGTCACTATGATAGGGGAAACTAGCTGCATACCGCACCACACTATTGCGATAGGTACCAAGGACTCTCGAGCAGTCTTTTGTAGTCTACTGTAGTCTCTTGGTTCTCTGATAAACAATGCTACTTACATCCGTCAATCTTACTTCCCTCTGGCGTGAACTCTGGTCGTGTGACTTAACTCTGGTTAATCGCTCTGACGAAGGGCTAACGCTCGAAACGTCAGCTTTTCTACCCTTTACGGTTTTCAACCCAGTTGTTAACACTAAACTACCTGCTATACTCTCCCACCGACGCAGCACCACAGTTTCTTTAGAAACTTACCCCTTTAATCTAACTTTGATTGTCACTAAATACTGACTCATACTGAACTGTCGTAAAACATTTCTACGCTAAAAATGTATTTCATTGATTTATTATAAATTTGATTGTGTATCAAGTAAGTTATAATTTCGTTACCGTTAAAGCACAGTGTTAACGTTACAATTTAAGTCGCATGTAATAGGAAGCGACGTAGGATAAATCAAATTAGTTCTGCGAACAGTGATGTATCTAATTAGGTATTTCCAGGGCGTTAAGCGCGCAGGAACATAGCAGCATGATTGTCAAGTTAAGCCATGTTTGATAGGAAATTAGTGCCCACGAATCATTGTAGAACGTGAGCAAGTCTTGAATCCCGGAAGGAATTACGTATCTGGGTGTGGATTTCTTTAGCTAATAAATGTAGCAATTTTTGTAACCCTACGATTAGACTGTAATAGAATAGATAGATCGTAAAACGGAACGTGTAATGCTGAATTGTCGGCAATAAAGCCTGGATCAAGTGAAAGTATACGGTCCAAGATTACTGAACCAGCGTATGCGGAATTCTCAGTAACGCAAGTGGGAAATTCTGCGAAATGAACTAACTAAATACTTCATAACATTTTAGAACATAACGTTCGGCTATGAATTAATGAAAAATGGGCAAAAACATTTACGATCTCTCTTAAGTGCATGGAACATTGGAAACACAATTTTGTAGCCTCTGAATAAATTCTTATTGTGGAACTAAAATAAGAAAACTAAGTACAAACAAACATGCGTGACTCTAATATTGATAAGTGTTATCCACTCGATCATAGCTCGAGGCGAGCCGGCAGCTGCGCGCGCGCCTACAAAACTTCCCTGCAGGTTACCTATTTAAGCGCGATTTGCATCGGAATATTTTACAAATATTGATTTTGATCACGAATAAAAACATTACCCCGCTTCTATAGCTTTTTCGATTTTAAAAAAAACTCAGAAACGATTTCAGTCTGAAATTTCTTTAACATGCCCATCTCGTCAGGTTTTTGACTTCTGTTTCAAATGCCGGTGAATGTGGTAATTGTGAGCGCTGGTTGCGTTCGTCGCCGAAGAGTACTTTCGGTCCCATAGACTCAAAGAATTCCTTCAAGTCACTCAATTGGTGTCGGCCTTTTTAAATTGGAAAAGTTCGATCTTAACGTCCGAAATTTTCGTTCATTTGTTCAAAGTAGCGAAAGAACTAATGATGCCTGGAAAAAAAGAGTTTGATGTTAAATTTTGAGTCACAGATAATTTAATCGCCTATTCTTTATTATCCAAAAGTTCTGATAGCGTGATATACGTAATTAATGCTATTCGTAAATCATTTGATAACAAACTGAACTTATCAAAATTCAATGGAGATTCTAGCAAAAGCTTGTGCCGAGCTATTTAGAACGGTCAACTGTCTGGAACTGGCTACGTACACTAACAGCCATCCAGTAACAAACCATATGAAGATTTCGAAACCGTCTAGTTCTGCAGGGTTTACACAGTCTGCTTTGTCCAAATAACACCGAAGAATTTGCATAAAACTAGTTTAAAGACAATTGTGTTGCATTAAGCTGCTGGGTAGTACTTCAGATTTAAATTATTTTCAGTCTCCTCTGAAAAGAAGAAAAGTTTCTTAATCCCGGTGAGAAGTCCGCTGAAGGTTTGTAAGTTTTTATATTTGCGCCGCGTTTCCATGCTGATCACCTACGCATGTCATCACTCATTGAACCACCACCTTCTACAAACAGATGGACATGTTCTCATTGTGATGAGCTGTAACAGTCAATGCAAGAATCCCTGAGCGAATTTGAAGAACGAAGCAAATACAGTTTCTTGTTGACAACAGGTCATGGTAACATCACTTGATCAAAGAAATTGCCTAGTCGAACTGCTGGCCTCTTTTATGCTCTTCAGACAGAATAATGAAAAAGTTTTCATGGAATAAAGCACTTTCATTTTCTGGTTTCAGGGAAAACCAATGTAATACGAAAAGTACCTACCTCTTAAAACGAGACTTCCTTACCGCCATGTTTGATAGTTAATATGTTTGCCGAAAGTAGTGATAAACTGCGAAGGCAGTCATGTGATAACAATTATCTCAAGAAGGTCACGCAATCCATAAATTGTGACTGTAAATCAAAGCGATCAGAACGATAGCCCATAACGGTGAGTTACCAACATGCATTAGAGATTTTACTAGTTACTTGATATATTTTAGATCTTTAACGTAATTTTAGTTTTAATATATTGTAGTCATTATTGCATATTTGACACAAGGCCTCCATGGATGCCAGGCTTCGGGCTGAATGGGTTACCTTGTTCCGTGGGATGCCAGTGGCATACCACGGTAAAAATCCGGCTGGGTTTCTTTTTCATTTCAAGGACAAATTACAAAGCTAGCCAATAGGAATGAGTAAAATCTTTATCGATTTTTACCTTATGTAAACATTGGCGGCTGTAGTGATCAGAAGCGGACGAAAATAATCCAGTGCTTTTCTGAAAAAATTAAAACCTGTGGAATTCATTTCCGCATATCTTCAATTTCACCGGGTCGAAAAACCCGGCAGTCGCATTAAGTGCGTTCTGAGGTCATTTCATTCCGAGTTGCGTTCCAAGCTGGAGAGAACCGTGCAAACAAAGGTCATTGCGTTACGATGCAAAGATATATTGAGTAACTCTGATGCGAAACGCGACAGCATTGGAAAATAGTGCAGGCGAAGTAAGATTTGGATTCCAGCGGCTAAATTTGACAAATTTTGCAAAAGGAAATTTGATAAACCCGGAATACTATTTAGTGGTAGTTTGCAATAACTGCACAATTCCTTTCAATGCTACGCCCACGGTAACGCCTTTAGGCGTCTTGTCTTAATAAAGTTTTTTTTTACTTTATACTATCATCGTAGCTATGACATGTCCACCAAAAAAAATCATCCTCTTTTTGCGCGGTAAAGATGAATACACCGCGCCGTAAGATAAGATTATCGCTATAGTTAGCGTTACCTCCAATAAAGACGTCTATTATACAGGTCTGACTGACACCTTAATGACGAAGCCATGTGGCCATTTTTATTTCAATACCAACCTACAACAGATGAAGACACCTCGCTTTTTCAGTTATTTATGTCAATATTGCATTGATTTTCTTTAATATGAACACGCTGGATCGACCGCTACGGCTCCACCTGAGATCGACAATCATTTTATTTTACAACATTTATCAAAATTATTGATGAGATGTAAAAATTGTAATGTTAAATTGAGAACTAGGAAGCTAAGCCCAAAAGTTTTCTTGTTAGCTCTGCCCAGCATCTCAAGTTACCTTCAAGATGAACCAATGACAGGAGCCATTACCTATCAATGATCATCTTTCCCGCGTTTTTCTACAAACTTATATGGAAAGTCGTTAATGACTAAAAAGGAGTAGGAATTTTAGTTAATCTGTAAATAACAGGCACCATCCGAATCAAAATGTTTTAGTCTTCAAAGTAAAAGGTGTCATAATTGCCTCTCTCTATGATGGCCATCTCACAATAACGCTCGATTTTTACTGTTCCCAAGGGGGTCATAGAGTGGAAGTTCGACTGCATGTGTATATTTATCAAAGGTAATTTAGCGTTAACAACAATATGGTATACCTGCTATACTCTCCCACCGACGCAGCACCACAGTTTCTTTAGAAACTTACCCCTTTATATATTTATCAAACCCCAGCTAAACTGACTGACGTGTTCAAGCTCTGTCGTCTTTATCCCCCAAAGGCCCTAAACTGCACAAACCTTACTCGCTCGTTGGTGACCTTATAAAAGTTCTAGAAGCCAAGGTTAAAGACGGATCGATGCAGAAAATCGCATTTATTGATCAGAATAAGAGTCAGGATTAAAGATCCTGGCGGAACGATCGGACCAAGAATTCCCGGTGGTACCCACGGGGAATATTCCGAAAGCGAAAGCTTGAGGAGACAGCCATTTATACTTCGCTGCGGAAGTTTACTCGGCTATGCGGTATATCAATTTTTTGATGTAACTCAACTCAGCGTGTCGGTCGCCCAAGCAACAAAACAGTTTCTTTTTCGACTAATAACCACCTTCAATTAATGATCCATCGATATTAAGATCTACTCAAGTCGTGCTCTAAGTCACGCGGTTCAACAGGGGGGAAATAAAACGAGGCTTTGTATGTAAGCAATGTCATGACTCGTCGATAGAAGTAATTCTATGACTATATGTTGTTTCGACTAAATTTTTATGTTTATTTCGATTTTCATCATAGTTATCAAGCTTATCATTCCTAACTTTCACCGTCATTTTTCGAATGGCTTCGATTTCCCTTTGATTCCTAAGGGGATAAATATAACAATATCAAAAAAAGATTAATCGACAATATATTAGAGGGTCAGGTAAATAAGTAAATTTGCTTTTCTCAACTGAGTCAACAATATAAATTGGCCTTCGTAAAGAGTTTCCAAAGCTGACGGTTCGAGCGTTACTAACAGCCCTTTTTCTGGAGCTAAAGAAGGGGAGTTTATCGATAACCTCGGCGAGTTTACCAGTGATGTCGGTGAGTTACTTGTCAGCGAGTTGACATGTCGGCACAGCAACCCATCCGTCCAGTCACGTTTGCGCTTGTCCATCTTTGGAAAATCTACGACCTTTACGACAATGCTCTACCAGATGACATGATTAGCCCCGAGTTTTTGAAACGGTAAGTACATTGTTAGCTAGTGTTTCATTGGATATTCGTGGATCTGTGTGTTAAGTACCTGGGCTTCAGCAAAGCAAACGCAATACAGTCCGCTGCCTAATGAACCTTGTAATGATGTTAGGACAATGGAGAAAGAAATTTAATGATAGTAAAGAATTGCATGCTCCACGGCGCAACAATCGAATTCCGTTTACGTACTACATAACTCAACAAAAAAAATCAAAAAGAAATTATTCAGTGTCATAGCAGTTTAAGTTACAGTCTAAAGAACATTGGAACGAAACCTTGGCGCGATTAAGTGGCTCCTTCCCGCCAAGAAACACAGTACCACGGTGATCAGTCAATCCAAATAATTTTCCTATTGATCGCCAATCAACAAAAAACAAACACAACAAGCGGCATGGATAAGGATTCAAGGGCAAGAGAACTGTCACTGACTCGCAGTTTACACACGGCTCTCAAAGTTAAGGACAGTAAGACCGGAAAAGTTATTTTAAAAGACAACGTCTTCGAAGACGCTAAACTAGAAGAGCATATTAACCATATAGAACATTTGCAGAAGAAAGAGGAAAGCCGGTTACGATGGGAGAAAGAATTTATGAAAAAAAGGTTACTTCGACGCGGTAAATCGAATCCAGAATTATTAACCTTACCACCAATTGAAGTAGGAGGAAGACTGAGTTGCAGTCCAAGAATTAGTAGAAGTGTAAAGAAACGCTATATTAATATGGAGGAGTTTTGTTCCGATGATTCCTCGCCAGAACGTAGCTTACATTGTTCACTGGAAGAAATTCAAGAGAAACCACGACTTAGTGTGGTCTCCACGCGGTCGTTACTCGCCTCGCACCCGCAGTCAGCAACTTTACCAGCTCTGTTATCGCCGAGTTTGACAAGGAAAGACTCCATGAATGATCCTAGATTTAGAAAGCTGTTACAAAATCTGGTTCCCAAGACTGAACTCAAGAAGACTATGTCCAGCGAAATATAGCTTGCGAAAATTACACAATACTCGCGCTCGTGAATTGGTCTAAAACAATAGAAACAATTTCTGTTAGAAAAAAATTAGGTAACATGACTTCGCCGATTCATAGAGAAACATCAATAAATTCCTGGTTGAACGACCAAAAAAATCGCCTTCTTGACCAAGAAATCTTAATAAAGTCCACAGTTACTGAATTAATAGGCTGACTGTATTTTTTGCGTTGTGAAATGTTTAGAAAGTACTCTAAAACTGTAGTAAGGAAATTACTTGGATTTTCGGGTTAAGGGATTATAAAAGTCAGTCAAGCAAATTAACGCCTGAATGATTTTATTCCCCCTTGAATTGACACAGTAGCTTAGCAACGATAACTGTTGTAAGATAGGAGTCTTATCCATTATCGCCTCTGATAATTCGAGGGCCAGAGGAGGACAACGAAATATCTTCTTCCCACTCTTTCCTTCCGTTACTTTTCTCGTTGACCTACGTCACGTTTCGTGTATTATTACACGACAGAATACCCTCCAGTGGCTAGCCTGCGGTCTTACCCAATAGAAGCAGTTTCAAAATGGCGGTCAAACACGTGTGAGAGCCATCAGCCCAAATTTTCTTTACAAGAATAGTCAAACATAGCTATTGATACAATCATGGACCCGGCTAAGGCACAGATGGTTGCAGAACTGGAAATAGAAATGATGACAGACTTATATAACAGGTCAGTCTCTATGATACAAAGTGAGATGCAGAGGAATGATCTAACTTTTTCCAGTGCACTCTGCTTCATTTCAAGGGTTGATCGTAAGTCACGCACGCATTGAAACAAGAGAGGAACAAGAGGGAATTTCGTAATTGACTACTGATGGCACTTTCCGAGGTTCCCATGAGATGTTTTGACCATGACCATTTCCTGAATGTGATGAACAATTTGAAGTCTGTTGACCAACTAACTTGATGAATCGTTCCCTTTCTTTTCTTCTTCTTACGCTTGAATTTTTTATTTTACAATGGTATTTGAGTATACATGCGACCTTTTTGTGTACCCTTATTAAGGTCTGGGAGTAACTACTGAATACTGGGCCACCGAGGTCGGCACCTTCTCGGCATGCTTTGAAGAAGGAGGCAGAACACTGAGGGATGTATAGTGATTAAATGAGATGTTAATAAGTGGCCCTGTATTCTGTAGCTTTACCCATGGGTTTTTTTTTTAATCGAGACATGTTATCAAGTGTTCACCATCCTCTCCCTCTGTTTGTATTTTTCCTTAGTTTGCTCAAATGTTATCAGAAAACTCCCAGCATAGTAGATTTGTTGAACAGCTGACTTGCTTAAGCTTAACCCCTTAACACCCTAAGATCAGCATGTATATTCTCCATAATGTTCCTTATTCATTTCCTAAGGTACTAACAAAGAGAGATTGCTTAATAATCAAGTACTTTTAGACCTTGTGATCTTTTCCTTTATTCTCATAACCTTAGCACTTGATTTAATGATTCAGGTGATACTGTTAGGAGTAATTAGGAGCCTATCCCTCAGGGGTTAAAAGTTGCATTCATAATTTAACCTACAGATTAACTGTGGCTTGTCAGAAGAAGTGTATATCTCCAAAATACAAAGAGGGTGATCTAACAAAAGGAGAATCAGTGTGCCTGGATCGGTGTGTGGCTAAATATTTGGAAATACATGATAGGATTGGCAAAAAACTAACAGCCATGTCTATGCAAGATGAACAGCTAATGAGTCAGCTTCAAGGTCAGGCACAAGGAGGGAACTAGGAGGATCTGAAAATTTTTATTAATTGAAAGAGAGACACTTTGGAATCAGCTTTGAAAGGAAAGTGGTTGCCTTTCAAAATTGTGTATTTCTCAATTGACTGCAGCTGTAACCCAGTGATAACAAAACAAGGATACATAAACAAATAAATAATTGCTTAAATTATAAACTGGGTTTGCAAACTCCTGTCACATTGCCCATTTAAGAGGTAATAACAGGGGAAGGGAAAGGAGGGGGGGGGCACTTTTGAAATAAGAAACAACTTCAGAAGGTAATCAATTTGCCCACCACTAACAAATCAAGATATTTTCCTTCACCTAGGGCAATTATTAAACATGTTTATTCCACATATCTGCTATATATTTATCACATAATGGCTGAAACAAGTTGGAAATTATTTTCCGCTGCATTTCCCATTCTGGTACAGAAGAAATTTTTTTTTTGTAAATCTGGGTCATACTTTCTCAAGAATTAATAAGCAATACATCTATAATAAAGAATTTCAGTAGCTTTATTTCACATCCTCGAAGACAGTAAAACACACTTCACTCTACATTTAGTTTTTATTACTCTAAGGATTGTGCTAAAAAAAATCTGGTTTTGCATCAAATTCAGCATCATGCTGGCAGACATCTAAATTGGTCACTAAAAAAACACCCATGCATGATTTAAAAATATTCATATTAGCACTATTTTCTGATGTTGTGGTGTCCTTATTTTGACTGCTTTCCAAAGGTGCTCTAATATAAAAAGTGCAGATGTTCTCTCCAACTCAAGTTATCAGTTTTTCTATGCGTGGTTACACTTTGTGTACCACATAACCAAAAAAAAGTAGCTTACATGTTTATTTACCAGTCAAATCATCCATCAGCTAACATGTTGTACCATCAATATGATGAAACACTATGAAATACAAATTCAAGTGCACAATGATTCCAAAGTCACTGTGTGATAGTAATGTTAGAGGTGGCAAGTGATACCATTTTGCAGACTTTTGGTAACTGTGAAGAACAGCTCCCAGAAAAACCTGTTGGCCATCAGTCAGCTGATTGACCAGCAGCTGATGGCTGACAGCCTTTGTAGTGGGTCTTGAAATATTTTTCTTTGTTACATTTATTATTTTTTTTATCAAAGTCTCGCATCTTTTTCAAAATTCTCTAAGTCTTCAATATACTTGTTCAGACCAGGAACTAAGTCGCAAGATGGTGATAGTAACTTGGAGGTATCATTGTGGGCAGGGAGAGTCTGTGTGTAGGGTTCTTGTGTGATTGAGGCACATTTTTGCTGATGAGAACCACTTGCATCACACATAAATCCAAAAGATATGGAGAAGTAGAAGCTTACATCCCCCAAAAAAGGTCTGAACTCTTCAGAATCGTCATTATCTTTACAATCACCAATTTTACCATACTTGTATCGTCATAAAACCACAATGATGCAAGGCTGATAAAATGGCATCTGCTTTTCCACTAACCATAAACCATTCTGCAAAAGGAACCACCTTCCTTCCACTTCCTTAACATGCAGGTGCGAGTAGAGCTTCCTTCCAAAGCCATAGCTTTCACTCTTTTGGCCACTAACAACACATTAAATCCCTTCTTGACAAACCTTAATGTTGCACAACTCCATGTCTTATCTTGCCTTCTTCAACACAAAAGGTAATGACAATACAAGATGCAACTCTCCTCTAAGAATTTCTCAATTATTTGTTGTGATATCCATTGATGAAATGTATTAATTGTTAAATGCCTAAATACGCAGAGACTTTGCAAAAGCAACTTTGTGATGTAAAAGTTCTGTGATCTCCTTCACTGACTGTTTATAGCTGGTCTGCAGTTTCTCCCAAATCTCGGACACAATGGAAGACTTGGTCTGAGGAACAAACACAATACACTTCTTCAACACAAACTTGATAATTAACTGATAGATTGACTTTCATTATCACAGGTTTACAATTTAATACTTTACAAACTAGTACTTTTGTTGCAATCATCTTTTTTTATATATCTATCACAAATCAAAGCATAGCTTATGCTCTACAAGAGTAGGACTAGTTTTTACCTCATTGTCTAGCTCAACTAAATCCAGTTCCAAAAGCTCATCAGAGAGCTGAGAAACATTCACTTCTACAAGTGCTGAATGTAGGGATGTGAGAGAAGATTTAAGCATTGATAGGAACTCTTTAAATGGTGCCATCTCTTCATTCTGATAGAGGTAAAAAAAAAGGTAACATATATTAAGTACAGTAGTGTTAGTGTAACTAAAGCTATTGAGGCAAGCTTTGGAACGGAGTTCCTAAATTACTCATGCTCAAATTTGTGTAAGAATCCTCCTGTTCTTCAATTAAGATCTCAAATGCATCATTTACAAGCCCCACTAGGATTTTTCACTCATTCCAATCTTCCATTTTTTTTTTTTTTTTGTTTAACCTTAACTTGTGCCCCTGGATTAGACTTGATCAGGTAACTACTCAGTTCTAAAGACAGTCCTACAATCAGACAATCAGTCCATGAGCCAAATGGTTGGTCAGTCAAACTCGATCATTGGAGTGAGCCTTATGTCATAATGTTCTCTTTACTAACCGTTTTTGTGGGAGCAGGTTTCTTCTTCTTGGTCTTTTTGCTACCTGACATTTTTTGTAAAAAGCTACAGCATACAGCTGCTAAAAGAAGGACACAACAACAGCTCTGCAAAAAAAGAAATTGTGACGTTAAATTACAATACAAATCTTCCAAATCCAAGTATTCATAAAGCAAGTGTCATTGTGGCAATAATCACATTGTCCCACAAAATAAATCCAGTATGTATAGACATAAAGTATGAATAAAACTTATAACAATTGACACACCACTTTATCCAAAATCATAAGTTACAGCTATCAAGCCATAATTCAAATCTTCAAATTTCAGCCATAGTGTACACAAAAGTTCTGGGCAATATTATCAAAGCCCTTGAAAATTAGCCACTAACTACTGCTAACTATTTAACTACCACAGATATGTGACAGCAAGATAATTATGTGAGATCATGAATTTGTAACCTAGTTCAAACTGAGTGTTAACATGAAATATCCTTCTCTGAGCCAATTCTAATTCAGTGACCTTCTCAATCTGATAATTAGTTACTAACTAAACAATAACTCTTAACATGAAATGGAAAATACTCCATTCTCAATTACCTCAACCAAGAGAACCAAAGTTTCTAAAACATATCCATTGAACATTGTTTTTTCTCCACTACCTGTGGTGAGCTTACTTAAACAATCTGAAATACAACCTAAACAGCAGTAACACATATTAGTGGAAGAAAAAATTGGTTTGTTGACAACAGACATGAAACAATCTCATAGTGTTAGCTTAAGTAGGAAACAAGTTTCTCTTTAGGCTTGATGGGAAAAAAGGGAAATTCAAAATTCTGCCTTCACTTTTCTGCTACAGGCATGATGCCAAATAGTAATAATATAGTGAAAGCTGCCTTAAGCAGACATCCACAGGACATTAATAAGTGTTCATGTGGGCATTTACAGCTTCATTTCAGATAAAACAAAGAGAAAAAGGGTGCTTACTGAGAAACTGTGCTCATTTAAAATAAAGTATGCTGAACTTCAGTTTCTTGTTAAGTCTAAATTCAAAGGCCACAATCTTTTCATAGGGTCAGTATTAATGTACAAAATTAATATCCCATAGAGCTAACTGGAAAGGCACAAGCCAAATGTTACAGTAAAATATTATATTATGAAGAAAATTCTTGTATTCTTGTAAGTACACTTTACTTGCATACCATGGCAGAAAAAAAAACTTCCTAACCAAAAATATATTTGACCGAATAAGAAAGTGAAGAAACACACAAGGTTGATTATTACACATGAGAAGGAAACATGTAAGAAAATATCTTTATCAAATACAAAACCATTTTTACTTTCAAGTTGAAATAATTAGAAAAAAAATTCAATCAAGTTTTTTGGCTATCTGAGTGTGTAACATCTTAACCTAAATATACTGGAATTAAATTAAGTGGTCTTTCCTCAGTCAGTTACAGTTTCTGCATAAATTAGATAAGAGATGGATTGGTAACATCACTGGAAAGACATTGCTGTAGTATAGTGAACAATAAAGAGTTCTGAGGATAGGAATCATTAAAAATCATTATCATTATCATTATCAGCTTTTAGTACCAAGAGAAATTACCTTTCAAAATTTCAGTCACTACATCCAGATTGTGTCTAATACGATTCCATCTATCTGTTGTACCAGCATCTGTTCAAAAGATCAGAGGGAACAAAGATATTTGAGGTTGAAAGAACAAGTTACATTTTCCTCACCATTATATTTTGTGTCAGTTATTAAACTTTTGTGGTGTAACAGTATTTACAAAATGTTACATCACATTTGGTTTATTCCTTGTTTTCATAACAACCACATTCCTCAGTTATCACGATTATTATTCCTCATTTAAAATGTAGGAGATGGATTGAACGCATCATTGGAATGCTGCTGCTTGAAAACTTCACCTTCCTGGACTTATTCTTGGCTCACATTTTTTGGTTTTGAGGCAAGATAAAAATAATTAGAGGGATAAAACAAATTAAAATAACAAACACCTTGTGAAGAATGATGTAAACTATGACATTCATGGCAAACAGTTACCATAGCTACAATCATTGCTCCATGCTGACCATCCAAAAACCCTGGCAGCCTTGAACTTGGTGGACCCAGACAGGGCAGCTTTACAAATAAAGTAAGTCAGGTTGCATTAGCATATCAGTGAAAAATTGTTAGGTCTTTGTTAAACATAAAGTTTTGTAATGGATCTCTGCTTAAAGCCCAGTGTTTTTTATTTATAATTTGCATTTGTAAAGTTGATTTTTGGGGTCTCAGCTTATTGCCGGGATCAGCATACAGCTGAATAAATATGTACAGTAATTGATCTACAACATTTTCCTCTTTTGCTAACAACTACAGTGCAAAGTAGAGTACCAAAGAAGATTTGGGAGAAGCCAGCTGTAAACTAAAACTCTGTCAAAGTTTCAAATCCATCTGAGGATTTACATTTTTTTAAATCAACTATTAGTAATTTTTTTTGGGAGCCAAGTAATGGGCTCCTGGTTCTATTGATTCTCCAACTGTAATTTTGTTCACACCTTTGCCCTTGTTCCTGGGTGCAAATCAACTTCCTGCAATGTTTCCTTCAATTCATCAATCACTTCTGCTAAAGGATAAGCTGGGGAAGCTTCTCCATTATTCATGTTTTGCATATTTTGTTGAGGTTTTGGTATCAAAGAGACAGCTACTGCAAGGGCTCTCAGAATAAGGAACCGCAACCTTAACCAGAGTACCTGTAAAATAGAGCAGACGTGAGCTACCTTTTGCATACCAAACAAAGAAATAAATTTGTTTTTCATTATTCAGCAGGATAACTCAGTGATAAGTATGGAGTCTACAATTATGAAACAAGTGAAAAACACAGCTTTGACCAAAATATCAACCAACATGTTAATAATAATAACAATAATAATAATAATAATAATAATAATATTAATAGGGAAATTTTAATCTAACAACAATTAAGAGTATAGTCCAAAGAGAAGACATTTAAAAACACTCCAACTCACCTCTTGCTCTTCGCATCTTAACTGCTGCTCTTTTGACAACTGCCTAAAAAATTCAAATTAATCAGTACTGAATAACAACATACCTACTTCACTTACCAACTCATCAATGAACAGACCAAATATCTAATGAAAGGTCAATCTCACAGGCTAAACCTTTCAAGTTTTTTTAAAACTCAAACTAGTTGTTTCTTGAGGGTAAATAAACTGAAGCCTTTCCTCAGGAAAGCTCTACTTCTCCTCATTTTATGATTAAAAAATAGGAGTTGGATTTGACTCATCACTGAAAAGGCTGTCAGAATGTGAAAGTATCGCTGGTGTGTGATGTTGAGACATCAAATCAACTAAAACTTAACTCACTCCCCAAGTAACTTACAAATTAAGATTATTTTAAACAATCAAAATTATTTGTGGCTAGTTACATTAAGAAAACCAGATCAGTGTTCAGATGAATCCCAAAATAAAGAGGAAATCACACCCAGTATTTACATACCTTTCTGGGACATCCCAGGTTTGAAGTATTTTTAAATCCCTGTTATCCTTCAGGTCTTTCATCCAGTATTCTAAAGAGACATTAACTGCATACTTACAACCATTCAAAGTAAAATATTGTACAAATCATAATTTCTTTCTTGCTCCTTTTATATTCTCCTTCATGCTTAACCTTTCACACCCAACCATCAGTATGCATATTCTCCATACTGTTTTCTATGCATTTCCTGAGGTGCTGACAAGGAGAATTTATTTGACAATCAAAAGTTTCTTTAGTACAAGTAGGTTATAATTTCCTTTATTCTTATTACATTACTGTTTAATTCATGGGTGATATTGTAAGAAGAAATTTGATGCTACCTACACTCAAAGTTTAAATCATTGGCTCAAAGTGAAAGAAGCCACATTAACCATTAAAAAAATGGTTAAAAAAAATTGGTAACAGGTAATGGTAATTCAGCAATTACCATCATGCAAAGTTTGTAGACAAGTTTTTCAACAAATCACAGGAGATGGCACAACAAAACCACATCAATTTCACAGTTAAAGAAAATCACCCTACCAATATCTCAACTGATGAAATCTCCCAACATTATCCCAAGTAAGACCCAATGGTGATGGTTTTCACTTGGGCACAAACTTTACCTTGAAGAATAATCATAGAAAAAAGACTTACTCTCTACAGAACACTTGTCGAGCAAGCTCTTTTCATCAAAATGACTTTGGACATCTGAAAGGCTAAAAAGAATGGCCCATGTGTGAAAAATTTTTATTGCTACAGAAATGCTTTAAAAGACAAAACAATGTTATAACCTGTTTGCCTTGGTGAACACGTCAAGGAGCATGTTTTCATAATTTACTGTGGCAAAATGCAGTGAAAGATCAAGTCGTCTCTTGAGATCAATGAACTCTGGAATCTGACAACACCAAAATTTTAAAAAAGTCATTGTAGGACAAGAAGCATAGTAAATTAAAGAAACTTATCAAGATGCAAACATGGAGACAAAAAGACAGAACAATGTCCACTTACTGTACATTGTGTTGCTTTCATGAGTATATAGCAACAGTTTGCCTAGTAAGTCCTTTCCACAGAATGTTACCCATTATTTAAAGAAAATTAAGTGCATCTGCTGTTAATGATGCTACCCAATGCTACTCACAACATAGATTCAAAACATATGAACCAGTTGATGTAATTCTAGTACATGGAATACACTTCCTCCTTTACCCTTTAACTCCCATGAATGATTAACATGTAACCTCTCCCTACAACATCCAAACATTATCCACCCAATGTGTATCGAGAATACTCAAACTTATCAGGTAGAAGTTAATAGTCTTGATCAAACACCAAATTCAAGTGACTCATTTACAAGGAAATCTGTGGCAGGTAGAGGGGAGAATTAACAATCAGATCTTGGGAGTTAAATGGTTAAGTGAATATTGCCCAACTGTCTTGTTGTTTGGACAATGCATAAATATTACTTGGGAGGGTCAAATTGATCCACATTTAACTGAAAATGATTATCTCACCTTTTCAAATGATCCATACTTGTATGCAGCTATGATGTGTTCAGGAGTCTAAAAAGAAACACAGCGATCTTCATATCTGAAGACTTGAGACAACATAAGTTGCTGACATGAATATCACTTTTAGATAATTGATCTTGAAACTGTGACCCATTTGCTTTTCTATCCAATTCTGAGAGTCTACTTTCTCCAAACAAGATTTAATTTACTGTGTACTGCCTGCAAATGTGAGGGCAATCAACACTTACAACAACAATCTCTACAGGAGAAGAAATAGGACAGAGCAAGACATAGGAGGAGAGAGGTGGATCAAAAGCTATCTCTCTTATTTGCTGTTTCACCCCTCTTTGTAGTTTGATGTTAAGATGTTGTACACAATTTAATAGCTGACAAATAATGTGTGTAACTTACATTTTTTTGGTTTCCATAAAAGAATTTTAAAGTGGTCAAGTACACAGATGAAGCTGCCTCAAAATGACCAAGAGCTTCAACATATCGTGTCAGAGTATAACTGGAAAAAAAAATACATAAAGGGAAAAATGAAATAATCTTTAGCATTGCTATTTTAGTTACTATGCCATTCATTACTGAAGAAAAAAAACCTGGATTCAAAAAGCATCTTGAAAAATGATTATCTAGCCCCTCAGAAAATAACTATGTTATTTCAAAGGATGCAAAGGTTATGCTGTTGTTGTGATTTGTGCATATGATGCAATTTGTTTTTTGTGTTTTAAAAGTATTAATGACAAAATCTTCTCCTGTACATGTAACTGCACTCCTTCAACTAATGATCTGTATGTTAAGACACTGAGGACTGAAAAAGTGTTCCCAGGTGGAGATGTCCCTCAGAAAGATAGAAGTTTGTACTCAAGCCTTAAGTAGTCAAGCCAGCTGGAATTTCTCCCAGTCTCTATAGCATGAAGTAACTTGGAGCATTGCTTCAAGGAAGTGTGCAAATATCTGTGCAATCAGTCAGAATTATAGCTGATAGGAAAGTTTCCCTTTTCTACTTACCCAACAACATCTTGTTCGATGTGCTTGATTTCTAATCCTTCAAAAAGTGCTAGACATGGACTAACAGCACCTATAAACAGGAGTGAATTAGATGGTCATCTTAGAAGCCAAAAAGCACTTTTCTGTCATTCACTCAGGGCTACCTGAACTTATTTCATTAACCAACTTTTCAGGGTTTTTTCTATTCATCAGAGTAATTCAGTAATTAAAGTTTTCCATCCACTCTCCGGATATTTTGTGGTATGTAGGGTATGGGAGGAGGGGTGCATAGGCAAGATTGTTCCCCTCCCTTTGCTGCAGCTATGGGTAACATCTCAATTGAGGTGGTGATAGAATCTTGTCCTTGCTACATGGTTTTTCCTGGTTCTCCAGTTTTCCTAACATGATAGAAAACCTATACTTTGAATTCCAGTTCAACAGAAAAATAATAAACAAAGTAATACCTTGAGTTTGCCACTGCCAAAATCTACACATAATTTTGTTATAAACTTACTCTCTGCTCCTAAGAAATGGTATTCACTTTTAATTTTACACACCTATTACCATACACATGTACACAAGCACTTCCTCCCTATCTATGCAACATAGGCATTCCAACTATTGCTTTTATGACCATGCAAACTCTGCAACACAATCCTGGTCCATGATTAACATGATAATCAAATACAGAAGACTGTTGTAGGCCTTTCCTCAGTGAAGCTCTGTTTCTCCTCATCTTATCACTTTATAATAAGAGTTGGATTTGCCTCATCATTGGAAAGCCAACAGCACAACCCATTTAAAATTCATGACACAGTCATTACTGTAAGACTCTGATATTAAGGTAATAGCTACACTGTAGATGAATTCTTCTTTTTAATTTTTGACACACTGAGAAGACAAAGTGCAGTTAAAAGTGAACTTACATGGAAGGATAAATCTTACCCATTGAACAATAGACTTTCATCAGTAGGAGTTTGAGCTGATGGTTGGAAGGACTTGCCTTTAATGCACTCTCTAACATGATAAGAAGGTGCCAGTTCATGTCTGTATTTCCTTCATTGGAAAACAAATTGCTGTTAAGAAGAGTTTCTAGAAATTCTTCATTGAACTGATGCAAAGAGCAGTAGGTGAAACTAACTTAACCAGCAGCAACCAAACTTGTGACCAAGACCTTGCTAATTCACAATTGGCTGTACTGCTATACCACATATTATTTGAAATTAATTATTTGATCTACAGTTCAATTTAACTTAATTTTTCTGGCTAAAAAAAAAAAAGAAAAGGCTCACATGTGTGTTAGCTGTGTAAGATGTTAGCATAATTAAAAAAAAAATTAGACAATTGGCGATTTGTTCAGTTTATCAAAAATGCTGATGCAAGTGGATAATTGATCACCTTTTCTATGAATAATCATTTTACAAGGACACCATACAGTAAAGAAATTATCATTTTAAGAACTTACGGCCACAATAATTACTACCAATATTGTGAAAAAATACCTGATTCATAATTTACTTCTAACAAAAGGTGTGAAGCCAGTTGAGCAAACCCATCACTGTACTGAAGTTCAGTAGGCAAAAGACTCTGACCTGACAAATAATTATAATGATTAAATTCAATAAGAAGATACTTCCAGAATTGAGCCACAAATAGCCAACCATTACGGTCAGAAGTTATTCAAGTTTCATGATAATGAAGATACAGGGAGTGTTACCACTCCCCTGAAATGGTCCTTCCCAAGTAAGGGCCTTTCCTCACTAGTGAAAAAGTTTTTTATTTAGACAAATTTTCAGTCATTGGCAACATTTCAGATGGTTTTCAGCAACTTGACAAATTTTGGCTGAAGTGGACAAATCTTCAAATGCACCACCAATTAAAAAAAATTTGTCCTAAGTAAAAACTGGACAAATTGACTGAAACAAAACCACGATAAACTTGTGGATCATTTGTCATAAAAGCTACGACCAGTGTGTAATTGAACTGAAATCAGTTTACTTGGATTCTAAAATTTTATAATGACTAAGGATAAATTCTGGAAATTGAACATGGAATCCTTTGGCAAACTATGCTGGCTGGTCTTATGAACAGATCAGGTGCTAATGGAATTGGACAGCTTTGAAATTTTAAATGTGGATGACAAAATTTGTTCTTTGGTTTTGTCAGGACAATTCTAGTTATGATTGTTTGTATGGAAAGGCCCTAAGGCCTCCTTTCCCCAACAATTCATCAAGTTTCCTAAAAGTTTGCTGTTAGCCATCAGCAGGAAGAGGTAGTCTGACAGTCAAGTCTTTAGTCCAACAACACTACTCAGAGACCCAGTCTGGGCCTAAACCTTGACCTTTTGATTGGACATCCAATATAACAACCACCAAGTCATCTCACACACATAAATAATGGGAGATGCCATTAAGGCACTTGTCTTCAAGGCCAAGTAACCCATATTGCCAAAGCTAATGCTAGTGTCTCCTGAATGAAGCCATTAAGAGCACTGACCACAAACACAACACAATGACCCAGCCAAAGCTTGAACCTACACCTCTTAGTCTGCTAGAATAAAGTCTTGTTGCAACCCCTGTGTGGGATGCTAAACTATCCCAGAGTCCCTAATCTGAACAGCTGCATCTGTAATCAGTAAATACCACCCACTAAATGTGTGCTACTTGTCCACTATGTACTTGTGGAAATAGAAAGGCCTAGGAGAGTAAGCACTGAGGAAGTGGGTCAGGCCTTACTTTTAGAGTTGGTAAGTATCTTGCCCAACAATCAATTGCCTAACAAAAGTTCAGCCTAGACTGTAAGCTCTTCAACATCTTCCCACTATGGCTTTCACATAACCAAACTTGACAAACTGGAGCACAGTTACTACACCAATCCACACAACAATCTTATTTTTCTATGACATGAAGCCAAGCTTCATAGATCTACATAAATGTATCTACAAATAAATTGCTATTTTGGTCACAATAGCGTACTAACCATAAACCAAACCATCTTTGTGCTGCTTCATATATTCCTTTGATAAAGCAATTTTTTCATCACAGGAAAGAGAGCAGTGAAATCCTAAATGTCTTGAAATCAGTTCAATATTCATTCTCCTCTGCATCAGTCTTGTCTAAGAGAAAAAACAGTATCACAATCACTAAATAGTATTTGTGTACATGAAAGCAGCTAAGATTAGAACTACTGCACCTTCTGCTACTACTGACCTAGAGGGCAATTGAATGACAGAGGGTAGAAACTAGCAATGGCCAGACAGAGTCCATATGAATACCTAGCACAACCCTATTTATCACCGACTTGGACCAAAGACTACTGCATCAAAATTCAATATAGATAGAATTCTTTAGTGACTGATCCTCATGTCATACAACCCAAAGGTAATCAGACAAGACTCAAATCATATGCTTCATTAGTTTTGAATTGTTCATTTGCCAGATTATTCCCTGAATTGTGCTCACTCAGTCCAACAGGCTCACAGCTTTCCTTAACTGAAGACTTTCTAGTAACTACTACTCACAACTTCTGTAAAACTTAGCCACAACAATACTTTACATACATGAGATGATTCAGGATCTTCATCACTGACTGATGGAAGGGCATTCCTTAATGCTTCCACAAACTAAAACAAAGCATCAAGATTTTTTGGTAATGGACTGGACAGTGTTTTGACAAATGATTTAAATTGGGTGAGAATGGCAGATATGACAAGTTTTGCCAAACAAGCCAAGCCATTCAATCTGTTCAATATCCAACTTTATCGCAAACAAGTTTTAAGGAGGCTACCATGAATGTGACAACGTTCTGCCATATTCAGCATTCACCAAATTCATAATTCTCATCAGTAAAATTTGCCATATTCATTACTGTGTGCATTTTTGGACAGACATGCTGTGACTTAAATACTCTATAAAAATACTCTATGTCTTGCATCATCTTTTCTGAGTGTTAAAGACTGTTGAGGGTTCAAGACTTTATTTCCAATCTATTTTACCTTTTCTTTGTCCAGTATTTCTGGTAGATTCAGATGTAAATAAGGTTCAAGGTCCCAGAAACAACAGTGCTTGTCTCCAAACCGTTTAAAATACTCTATTAATAAATATACACTAGAAGTTGAACCTGAAAATAAAAATAAGAGAAACACACCAAACATCATTAGCATTTCACAAAAAATGGAACAAGCTAACTATGTGTCTACAACTTGAATTATAATTTAAATCTGTAATTCAGATTGACTATTCTTGACAAAGCTTTCAAGATGAGTTAAAGCATTTTATATTTCTGCCCACTAAGAAAACTGGCCCACACATACACGTTTGTCTCTAATAGTTTCCAAGGTAGATAATGCTATGTAGCAGATAAATCACTATCCAGATGATAGAGTAATCTGTTTTGTGAACCTGGACCTAAACATCATACAAGTATTAGATAGCAATGCCCACCTGGTGAGCAACCTGAGCAAAACTGTTACAAAAGTTTCATGTGACAATTTCGAACCCAAAGGTGCTTGTAACCCACATTGTACTCCAGGGTAACATGTCCTATTACTACACTAAAAGAAGACAAGAACAGATAATTTTGCAACAAGAGAGCAAATCCTTTGCCAGAATTTTAACCTGAATTCCTTTAATTTTGAGGTAAGATGCTCCCCTGCTAGGCCTAGATTAATTCATAAATTTTGAGTTTCCTACGCACTTCCATGATCACTAGTGTCAAAAGTGTCGTGTAGATACATGTAGATTAAGTGAGATGAGTAAATAGATTTTCAAATAAATTAAAATTGATTCATTTAAAGATTTTAAAGAACATGTCAGGACTTCAAAGGAGTTTGCACGGTGGGTTTACAAATAGGTGTTTTTTTTCGTTATCAGGAGTTTTTGAGTTATTTAAAAAGAAAAAAAAATCCTTTGTTAGCATGGAGAGTGGTAAGTTGCTTGCACCAATCAGATCACCACATTTGGGTGGGTATCTTGCATCAATCAGATTGCCACATAAGGGTATGTATCTTGCACCATTATTGCAATTAATCAGATTGCCCCATTAGGTTATGTATCTCACATCAATCATACCATGTTGACCCATCTCAACCCACCCAGCCAAAACTAAAACTCTTGAATGCTATGCATGCCTATGTTTCTGAGAGTCAGGTGGTCTTAAGTATCTTTCCTTTTTGGTCAAAGGCACAAATATGGGGGGTTAGGGAACCTTGAAAATATACATATTGTCTACCCTGTATAGACACAAACACTGCCGACATTAGCCAGGTTCAATGACACAGCACATTTAGGTTTATTCAATACATGTATCCAAGCAACTCACTCTGTCTTGAATCACAGTGAATACATTCTTGACTACAAAGCTTTTCCAGTTCCAATTGTGCCAAATAAGGTCCTCTGCATGATCTCTTTTCTTTAGTTTGTTCAGCTTCCACAACAGATGCTAGGAATTTGTCAATCATTTCTAAAGAATAATCAGGAAGTTCTCTGAAAAACAAATAAGAAAAAGTACACAAATGACTAAACAAGAGTGCAGTTGGAAAAATATAAAGAATTTGGATTTTTATGTGATCAAGAAGTCAATCCATAGATTTAATGTGCAGAAGTTTATGGCTGGAATGTACTTGGCTTTTCTTTTAAAACACTTTCACTGAAAAGCTCTGTATTCATAAGTTGAAATATTTCCCAGAAAAACCCATCACCTTCTTGTCAGATTCTTCTACACATTATTATCACCCTTCACAAAAATCATGTGAATGAAACCTACTCTGACTCATCAACTGGTTTCCAGTTTTGTTTTATAAGAGAGAAAGCTGAGGTTAGGTATGACTGGTAGTATGACCACTGATCTGGCCTAGGAGAAATAAGAAAACAAAAATTACAGTACATCTCCAATTAAGTTAAACCTTTTCATTCCCAAGATCTTATTAGTGATTCTCCTTTCTGTCTGGTACACAATTCTTATAATATTAGTTTGGAGAACTTGGCATTGGATCAACTAATAATCCCTTAATTGACATTTTTCATTATTCTCATCACCTGCCTGCTTGATATTGTAAGGAGAAATTCTTTCTTGGTCACTTATTGGAGTTATGGAGTTAATAAAGCTCAAAATCCATACTATAACAAAAAGTGTATGCCTGAATATTCATATTTATATTGTTTAGCAGCCTAGCCAATACTGTTCTTCTCTTGACATATCTATTATTCACTGCTAAATCAGAAGCAAAAGAGGATTTCCTAAGTCATGACAATAGGCTACTTTTGAAATACATTGAAATCCATCTTAATAATAAGGCTAAGAGCAAATGGTAATAATAAATTAACCAAATAACATGAAATTAAATACAACTAACCAAATACCTTCTCAAAATGAGTTTCTTAAATGCTATATTTGCTTCATGCCATTTGCAGAGTTTTGTTAAATAAATGGCTTCTTTTTCTTCTCTTTCATCCATGTAACTAATCAGTTTAGCTAAGAAATGGACAAAAGGTGCCTGATTAATCAAAGATCTAAGGAGTACAACTCCTTGGTGGGAGAAGTAGAATTGCAATCCACAGGTTTTAGGTGCAAGTGCTGCAAGTGCAAGGTTAATTCCAAATTTAACCTTTTACACCTCAACATCAGTATGCATATTCTCCATACTGTTCTCCATATATTTCTTAAGTTGCCGACAAGGAGAATTTGTTTAACAATCCAGAGCTTCTTTATTTATTCAGCATCTCAAGGGTTTATTTGGAACCAACATAACAACCAGCACCCAGTTGGCTTGTTAGCTCAGTTGGTAGAGTGCTGCACAGGTATCACAAGATCATGAGTTTAAATCTCGTACAGGCCTGAATTTTTTTTTTCAGGCCTTATTTTCCCTGTCGCTCAAGTAGTGTTCTTTATTGTGAGTATCCTTTCCATATTCATTTCTTTACCCGCAGTTCACATATATGATTTTCACATATTCACAGTCATTAAAGAGCTTCTTTAGTTGGTGATTATTTTGTTTAAATCTTGTGAATTTACTGTGTGATTCAGGGGTGATAATATAAGGTGATATTAGATGCTAGTTACTCTTAGGAGTCAAAAGGTTAACTCTCTGACCATGTTTGCAAATTGTCAATTACCTGTAGTTTGCCTCCAGCCAGTTGAGATTTTAATTGTGACACATTTCATTTGGATTATACATAAGAGTTTATTTGAAAGGAGAGTCTGTAAACTAGCAAAAGGAGACAAGGGCCCTTTCAAGGTAAAAACATCCCTATATCCTACATTTTATATGATGAAAAGGATGACGATGATTTTAAAGTAATGAAACTGATACTGGCACATTTCTTTTAAAGTTTACAAAAACACAGCTTGTGCAATTTCATTGCAACTAAAGTTTGTTTTAATGCAAGCACACTCACCAGCCAAATCACTTCTAAGAACACCAAGAGCCTTCTCATAACATCCAAGCTTCTCTAAAATCATTAAATACAGATGAACCTCTGAAAAGTGAAAAATGTAAGGAAAAGTGCTCAGATAATTTTTTTTTCCTGTGATATAACTACTGAATTAAAATTAGTGCATCAAACTCTGTAATTACACACCAACAAGTCTAAAGCAGTACCATATTGGCAAAGCCCACGGATAAAGTGGTTGACAAAGTAAAGGATTTCAGTAAGCCCAAAGTATTCAAAAATATAGAACTCCACACACACTTGTGACAGCTAATGCAAAAACCCAATGGGAGAAAAATAATACAGTTAATAACTACAGAAAATAGCAAGTATATGCTAGGAGATATTATTGTTACTGCAAAGTGTGGGTAATTACTGACTTACAAGCAGAAACTTCTCCTGCTTTAAAGAAATACTATCATGACATTTCAATCTCAATTTTTTTGCCTCAGTATGTGCTACTTTCAGCTTGAAGGAGACTATCAAGATATAATTTTCATGACATAAAAAAAACACAGTAGGCAGTACTAAATCTAAAAGGAATGTGACTTGTATGTTCAAGAATGGAAAACATCAAACTGATTCAGAACTGACATGATGCAAGATATTTCCATCATATGGCTTCTTTCAGAAACTTTGGACAAGCTTAAGACATAAAGATTCATGTTTCCCACTCCCTTGAAAACCTCGCCTTTGTTGTTTGAAGGTTGGACAACACTGAACACAGGATAAATGGCTATCTAGGGGATAGCAACAGGTAACTAAAAAATACTGCACCTGCTTCAGCTTCAATTTTGCCTTCATTTACAAATTTTTCAACCATTTTCTCAGCCAAAGGAAAGAGCATAGTTCTTCCAAGTTTCTCTTCACTAGCCATTATACCCTGAAACATAAAATTTGAAATAGATTCTACAATTGAACTACAGGGAAACTTAATCAAATATTGTTGACTCACCAAAGGTTGTTATTATGAAAGACACAGAACTCTGTATAAATTTTGAACTGACAACCCTGAATTGTCAACAAAAGTTGTAATTGAGCTAAAATCTTGACCCTCCACAGTATTGAAAGATGTTTTACACATCAATACCACGTGCTTTCACCCAACTATCAGCCTTAAGAACAGCATGCAACAAGAATTACTCCACCCTTCCTCTGCCAGTAGAGATGATTTAATTCTGAGGGAAATATGCCATGACAAAGTGAAGGTCTACCGGAGTGTGTAGATTTTTCATTTTCAGTATCTCTCCTAGCAGTTGTAGTTTATGTTGATGATGATTTCATTTGCCTTATTTTAACCCTTTACAACCTACATGTTTCCTTTGTGTAACAATCAAAGCCTCTTAGGTTAACATTCATTTCCTTTATTCTTATGATCTTTATGAATGACTCAGCAGTATTACTATAAGGAGAATTTAGATAATGGTCACTCTTAAGGTTTAAAGGTTCAAGGGTAGAGGTTTAAAGCACTATGAACAGCTCTCTATTCAAACAGTATCTCCTTTGAGTGAGCATGCATGATTATAGATACAAATAACTTGCATGACATGATCAAAGGAACACATCTCTAAAAGTAGGGAGAATATTTTACCTGCATCACAATGCTCATGACAGCCCAGAAGTAGTAAGGGTTCTTAGAGAACAGTTTATACAGATTCATAGCCACCTGCAAAAACAATAGTACATTCACAATTAATCTCCACAAACTCAATGACCAGTTACATAGATTGGACTCCACGACAAGTGGACAAGAGAGGGATTTGTAACAATTTCACAAGGGTTTTTCAGTTGTTGTTGTTGTTGTTTGTTTGTTTGTTTGTTTTTAATAACTACCCCCCATAAAATTGATGACTTGAGCCCTGGAGGCAATAGCACATAAAGTTTGTAAACTAGGGTCTCCTTTCCAGGATTTGCATTGAGACATGAAGTTGCAAGAAAATGGTGTTACCTAACAGGTAAAAAATATTCTTCAACTCTGGGTGAAATACAGGCCTGACAATTACAATTTGACCAAATAATTCTGCATAGTAGCTCGAGAACTCTATCTTCTGCAATGCCAAACTAACCCCTCCAAGGTTGCAAACACTACTTGACACACTGAGAAAGGGTTGATTTAAATTTGAAATAAAACATTTGCAAATATTGGTTGGGAAGGAGTGTGAAATAAGGAAAGTTGTTCAGGTAACATTATTTCACTTCAATTTGCAAACAAATTCACTTCAGGCAGAAGGTAACCCTACAATCTCATTGCTTTTCTTTTACAAGCATAAAACACTTGAAACTGAAAAGCTTGAACCAACAATGGAAGAAAATGGCACAAACATCTTGGCATAAGGTTTATAAGAAGCCCTGAAAGCCATTGGGTTCATTTAGGCAAAAGTAAATTTTAAAATCTGAGTGAATGAGATTCACCTGTTGTTGCTTTTTGTAATCTCCAATTCTGACATATGCCATAAAGAGGTGAGAATATAATTCTTCATTCTTCGGGTTCTGTTTCAAGGCCATCTCATAAATACAAGGAATCATCTCAGCTTAAAAACATAAAGCACATACACTCCAACAGTCAATGATAAAAAGAAAAGCTGGTTAACAACCTCAAGGAAAATGTGAGAACTTCAGAGAAACTTTAAAGTGTTTTGGTGGAAAAAAAAAACATGGAAACAGAGTAATTCTGAAAAGTGACAAAAGAGACATAGTGAGGAACTTGTTGCATTTCACACGACAAAGATGTTCAAGGTGTAGAACTGACCTGGGTCAAGACATATGTAATCTGCCCTTCAGTTTGACCTGTTTCAACTTATACATCATTTCAGACCAGAGTTGTATCATGAAAACACCCTGTAACAGATCAGTGTGCCTATTCCCACCACGTACTTCTTGGTGTTTCTATTGATATTGTAAGGAGAAGCTGTGGGTCAATCACCAAGTGCAAATAGCGGATCAGAGGAACAGGCACCTGCTGTTATCTAACTCATTCATTAGTTTTAATCTGAATAGGTGAATTGGAGAAAGTAACCCTTGATAAATGAACTCTACACATTTCTTACGTTTTTGCATCTCTCTGTAGCAAATTGTCATTGCCTGAAGCGTGGGATCGTCCGCTGGTTTCGCTTCCATAATCTCCACCATAATTGTCTCGCTTTCAGCAGTTTTTCCTGATCGCAATAAAGCCAGTCCTTTAAGAGCCTGCAATTCAAACAAAGGACTGAATGTACCCTGTTACTACACATTTAGCGTCATCACACTTTCACTGAACGTGATTCATGCCGTCCGCAGAAACTTTTACCTTGGCGCAGTACAGGTCTTTCTGCTTCCTTAAAATTTTGTCTGCAAGTTGGATGGCCAGTTTGTTGTTCATACTGTCCAACGCATCTGAAAATATAGCACAAAAAGGGTCAAAAATTATCTCTCTTTTATATCAGTAATTTTTGTAACTGGTAAAACGAAAGAGAAGTACCATAAACAGGACGAAGCCGACGCTCGTTGACATCGACATGGCGGGAAGCCATGTTGCATTCGGCTCACATGCTCTTCAGCGAGTGCGCCCCAAATTAGCCAGCGGCTAAATCCAGTTACTAACTAGCATCGTTGTGTAGCAGTTGTAAATAGACACATACTAGACACGTATCAAGCGATATTTTCTCTGATTATAAGTCACAACTTGATTATTGTTGGCTTCACGCCTAAGGTTGATTTTGATTGAGGTAGCTCTAAAAAAAGCATTTTTCCCATCTTTGAATAGTTTTGACGAGGATCAGGAAAACAGCGTACGGGAAAAGGACGAAATGGGAACATATTAAAACAGAAATTCAATGAAACGGTTTTTAAACGTTCCTGGTGAACGCGGCAAAAGCTTTGTATCATTTTAGGGAATAGAAGAGCATGCCACCCTCAGCCCTTTTGAAGACCTTCGTTACTATATCTCTCGGCTTTAGATTACCTTCAAGACCTCTTCAAGTCCTCTTCAAGTGTACTGATTCCTTCGTTTTATTCAGATCGGCACATGCACAGAGCTCAGATTTTCCTCCACGAAAACTTGATTGAAGAGAGTTATTTTATCTCTCGTGACAAAGAAAGCAGACATGGCAAATAATTTACGCGGAATTCAATCTTGTTTCCTGTACACAACTCCTTGCCCCGGATTGGTCAGTTCTTGCAAGTAACTCCATCAACAAGCTGATAGCTCAATAAATTACCAATCGTCTATAATTTTCAATTAAAAAACGAATCGAGCATAGCTTTCCATTCTATTTCCATTCGATTCCACTTTCATGCTGCCATAGGGATACGAACAAATGACCTGAAAACCGCTTAAAACTTTGCAGTGAACAAAGGCAAAGCTGCGTTTGTGTGTGAGGGTAACTGGGTGGGTGTGTATATGGGGTGGGGCACGGAGGTCACGTCCTGCCGTGGTCCCTGCCGTGTTCGCATCTTTCATCTTGAAGAGGCCAAGATGAATAAGATCATATTTCTTTGCGATTTCACTTCTCCCTGGCCTCATCTAAAGACGTGATTCTCTGACTTTTCCCAGAACTGGTCAAAATCTTATTTCCTTGAATACTACCTGGCCTGTGAAAATTTGCGAATTTTATTTATGTTTAGAGTTCAGATTTATGGATGCTCACGAAAAGTTTGGAATGTACGAAGGAATTATGAGCTGTTCACGTTGTACCCGAAATTAAGCAACTCTAGCTTCTTTCAGTATTCTCAAGCCTTCCATTTTTTAAAAAAATTTTTCCTCATTTCCCAAACCTTTGTTTATAAAACGATGCTTGGTCTTTGGGAATAGTAACCTCTAGAAAACATCTTCATCGCGTGGATTGACAATAAGCTTTTAACTGGCTCTCCTTCAGGTTGAGGTTTTTCTCTACCTCCTCGTCATCACATAATATATAGATTTAGCCAAGCCTAAAAGCGGAGCTCGCATTTTTTTCCCGCACGTCTTAAGGGCACAACTCCTTGCCCCGGCCAGGACTAGGACCCGTGTCGTCCAACTCGGAGCTTAGTGCACTGACCACTAGACTACTGGACAAAGCCGTGGCGTTGGTGTGCCCGCGATACAGTTGACCGCGCATGTTAAAAGTAGCATCTTGTACGGTCGGTCGTACGGTCGTAAGTCCAAATTTATTTATTTATGGGGCTACGCTCTGCGAGCTCCGCTAGTAAATGCTGAACAGGCTGAGTGAGATTAACAAACTATACACAATCCGAGATCGTCACTTCGACAGAAAACACAGATGACTAACAGTTTTATTATTTCAAAGGCAAACATCATTTCAGGCCTGGTAAGTTCTCGAAAAGATTTCTCAGTACCCTCATTTTCATAATGTGATTGGAGAAAGTGTATGTAAAGTGATATATCTCACCATATCTGACTCTTTTGCTAAGCTAACGGGGTCCTCTTTAATGACAAAAGTAGACTTAAGTCAGGCTCCTTTCGTAATTCCCCAGTCTTCAAATTTCCTTGGTTTGCAATTGAATGGTTTAAGACCCTCTTTGGGCCCTTTCCCTTTCGAAATTGCAACACAGACTTGACAATACAGTGGATACTTTGGCATCCAATAATTTCCGATAGCAGTTCTAGTGATGTCGCCATATCCTTCCCACTTCCACTCCAGATATTTGTTGTACTCGGTTTCGTTGTTGCTAAGATACTTGAGGTATTCAGCCAACAGTTCAGGGCTCTTGAAATCACGCACTTTTATCACTGAACGGTTAAGATAGGGCCCGGGGAGAAACTCATCCAGCTTATCTGTAGCCATGACGACAGGAACCGAGCCTGCATCCATTGCGTGGTGTAGTTGAGCATCCACAAAATAATCACAGTCTTGGTTGAAGAACACCAGGTTGAACTTGTACTGTCTGGCCAGCATGGATTTAGCATCTCTGAAATCAGTGCCCTGTTTGTTTTTGCCATACCTGCCCACTAGACTATTATTGTTCCTTAAACAGGCGCCGAAAGAATCAACCTTTACAAATTTCATTAGCTGCCTCATGTACTCGGTTCGAACTACCTCGCAATTTGAGAAAGCTGCCATAATGAGCCCAGTCTTATTCTTAAAAGGAACAGGGGGTGCTACACCAGGCAGCAAGACAGAGGGATCTGGAAAGTCTGAGTCCAGCCGATAACTTTTCAAGTAGCTAAATTTCGACATGAAGCTGGCGTCGTTCAATACCGGTGTGTAAATTGGATTTTCTCGAGTCTGCAGAATCCAAGGCACTGATTTTATTGGTGGGTCTGGTCGTGGGTCCCTGGCATGGACTAAAAAGGCATCTGCCTCTTTTGCTCTGGATTGGTCACTAGTCCACTCACACGGTACTGGGCAGTCACCTTTTTCAAAAGTTTCGTGAAGATTGAGCCTTCTTCCAAAAAACGTTGACCAATATACTACAAGCCAACGCTTTGTCTCTGATCCTTCGGTTGTTACATTTATGCCGTGCTGTGTTGTGATTTTCGCAGCTTTTATCTTTAGCTTTGAACTATCCTTAACAGGTTCCTTCCTGTCATCTATTTTCGTTCTCCCTACAGCAACTGGTGTCATGTAGGTGGAATTTTCATTCGTGGGAAAATAATTTGTCTCAAGTTGCCACAGTAGCACTACAAACAATATCAAGCCAAGTGTACACTTCAGAGCGTACTCTTTTCCTCCCATTCCGTGATAAATCTTTTGTTTCCGTCGTAGTACAGGCTACCTGTAAATAACAACATTTTTGAAAGTTATCAGGAGAATGAGCTGCTACTGTGTGTTCAATGAGTACCGGTAGCACACGTGTGAAACCGGGGTGGCGCAGATCTGCACTAAGACCACTTTTTCTCAAAATGAATTGGTTAAAATCCAATAAAAATCCTTGCAGTAGTAATAGATTGTAGGCTTAATTTCGATGGGCATGTTTGGATATGGTGTATCGACAAAGCCAAACCGTTACTTTTCAAATGAATGAAGGGGATAAGTTTTCTAAAGAAAATGTGGTACTGCGTCAGTAGTGAGTATTACAAAACAACTTGGTTTTATCAATTGAGTTGATAATGTTAAAAGTAATCGTGAAAAGTTTTTAAAGCTGACATTTCGAGCGTTAGTCCTTGGTCAGAGCGAATGACGAAGGGCTAACACTCAAAACATCTCCTCCAGGAACACTTAAGGTGGCCAATTTACTCTACTCAGTTGATGAAACTAAATTATCTTGTTACTCTTCAAATCTGCTATTTTGCACGGTAAAGTTTTTTTTATGTTTATTCTATAACTTGCGGTATAAAAGTTTCCACAACTTCGCAGTTTTTATGAAAAGAAGTTGGTGTCACTTGTTTTGTCGAAAAAGCCATGAGTGTCACGTGGATGTCCCCGAAACTTTTCGACAGATATATTAAAGTGCACATCGGAAACAAAAAAAAATATTATAAGTCGTTGAAGTTGTGTTGGCCATCACTTTTACGGCACGGTTAGACGTACATCAATTAAACCAGTGATCCTCGATTATCTATACGCATTAACGACCTGTCTCAGTTTTAAGAAACTTTCAGCCTTTTTTCTATTCATTTCCAGTCAAACGTTGTTCTACCTTTAGTTTTGGATGCATGTGGAGAGTTTTCAAATTTAGGTGCAGATAATTTCATTTTGTGCAATCGTAATCCATCCCTCACAAGACTTCATCAAACAAGGATGATTGAGTTTTGTTGAATTAATCTTGTTGAATCAAACCGACATATGCACCTCCATACAAAAAATTTGAGCATTTTAGGGGAAGATTTTTCAAAGCACCTTAAGAATGCTTTCTGATAACTTTTGCTTGCTGTTTTGTAAAAGCTTATACATGGTAATGTAATCAGCAGATATTAAGTTTCAAGCCTTACAATACATTAATTTTACATACTTTGAAAATTTTTGCAGATAATGAATGTAAATAAAAGTGAAGATTTAAGAAAATTAGCTCTAGCATATGACCTAGGCAAAGTATGTTGCAAAGACAATCTCCACTACAGGACAGAAGAGTGTGACTATGCAGTGACAATTAGATGCAAATAAAAAAAAAAACTAACATTGCAAGTGCAGCTTTTAGAGTCTCAAGTCCAAATAACAACAACAACATATCCTGTTTTACCAGTGAATGTATTCAATTGCATAACAATTACTTGAAAACATACTTGTTATCCTTAGTTGCATATTATAAGTGGTCATCACTCTAAACACATGATCAAAAGATGAAAATAAATGCAAATTGCTGTTTTTCTACACAAGTTCTCCTGAAGATTCATACACGGTTAAGTTAATTTGACAATAAAAAATGTTGATATACTTAGACCTTTGTGTTACCACAGTGCTTTTTTCTATTAAGCATGAAAAAGTTACAAAACTTCTTTTGTGGACAGTGCCTGCTAACGAAGATCTTATTTTACTCAATAATCAATATCAGTGCAAGGAAGGAAGGTCCCAAAGAACTATCAAACCCAAAAATAAAATTTTTGCAGTAAGAAAATCTTATCAAGGGCTATCAAAATCTAAAAATAAAATTCTGCTACCCTTGTAATTCATTGGGATGATTAGGTATTACTCTTAATTCTATAATAACCCTAAGAAAATTCCATTTAAACTTGTGCTTTCATGCACAAAATCAAAGGTTGAAAAAAAAAATAATAAGCCTTCAAATAATTAAGAAATGTTGTGTTTTCTTTAGCTTGTTTGATATTTTTATGCAGAAACCTAAGGTAAATCAATCATCATTAGCCTGAACTGCCAAAGCATTTTCCATCCAACAAAAAATTAGACTATAGCCAAGTAGGCTGACCTCTGTCTCCAAATGAAAACAGAAGAAAGGGTCAGCACACGTTTTCCCAAATCATTTCTAATTTTATGGATGTAAATCTCTTTGACATTTTTGGATTCCCTTTTGGTTTTCCTGGATCCACCCCAGTATGGATGACATTTGTAGGTTTAACTCGTGGGGAATGCTGGGATGTCTGTCATGGCGGAAAGTGTGACAAACGATCGTGACAGAAAAAAAACACACGAAGGTTATCCCAGTCACCAAGATTGTCAGGAGAGCAAAAAAAATCTTCCAAATGATCATATGACACTTTGAGAAAAGCCCCTTGGGCCTACCGATATGCATCAACCCCAATTTACCGTGTCATGGCTTCCTGCGTTACCAAATGTAACGTGATACAGTACCAGCTGAGATTCCTGGCTTGAAATAATTAGTGCATAATCGACATTCGCACTAATAATTATATTTACGGAGGAGTAAATTGTTTGGTCTACAAAATTACAGGCCGCCCATTTACAGCAGTTATATAAATAGGAAAGTTTTAGCGATATTTTTAGAAACTAAACTCATGGTTATGTGTTTAGAAAGTCCTGTTTTGCGTTTCGTCGCCAGCGGAGCAACTCCTGACTTTATTCATGCCTCGATGTGCCACGTAAGGAAATTTTCAAGGTTTTCCAAGGAGTGGTAGAAAATAAATATCTGAATAACTCATTGAAACGGAG